GTCCTACTAAAGGTTGCAAAAGTGAGGTACGACATCGGCAGAACTTGGTAACCTTAAAACCTGTTAGCAGTTGTTTTGCATTTGTAGTTGCGCGATAACTTGAAAATTTTTGATGATGCATATTTCATATTTTATTCTCTATTGATAAACAGGCTATGGACAAAAAAAATTGCATACCGTATTTAATCGATTAAACACCGCTGGTAGACGCACAATTACCAATCAACACCGCCCTCGAATAATGATAACCGTCTCACCCTATCAGATGAGTACGGCGTTTATTCGAGAATTACAAGAGGAAACTCCGCACAACTTATTCGCAATCTACACCATTCAGACAGTAACGATTCTATCTCAGCAAAAGAAGCGAGACATTACAACTTAAACACCTTTCTTTTTTTACATTTAATAACACTAGCCTGAGAAAAGACCCGACATTTGGCGACACTACCACTGGTTTCCCCGCCAAATGACATCTGAGGAACGAGCGCAGAAATTCCATACTGATGACGCGTTACTAGCCAGATCTGGGTAGTGCTTCTGATTGGTCGCGCCGTGTGGAAAATTGGATTCAACCAATAAGAAGCACTACCCAGATCTGGGTAGTGATGCGTCATCAGAATGAAATTTCTTCCCTCGTTTCTCAGACGTCATTTGGCGGGGAAACCAGTCAGTGGTAGCGTCACCAAATCAGTGGCGGCTGTTTTTATCAGGCTAACATAATATGCTATCAAATAATTTATCATAATAGAGAAGAAAAGTGTGACGTCAGGTTACCATGGAAGCGAAATTTTGGATCTCAACAATCTTTCTTGATAGGGGCGGCCATTTGCATTGTCGAACGATGGAAGAATATTATGGGGTACCGTTTTGTTCCCGAGTGCAATCATGCACAGGAAAGTCAAACATGTCAATTTTTTATTATTATTTCGTCCATGTTTACAGGACCACGGTTTGTTGAGATCCAGAAATTTTGCTACCATGGCAACGTCCGGTAACGACTTCTCCTCTCTATTTTTGACAGGGGTTTCAAAAATGTGATTTTAAAGTAAACACCACCCCTGAAAAAACACAGCATCGGAAACGCTAAAAATTTAAACTAAACGCCGCGGAAACTGTATGGTAATTTCTCTTTCAATTTAATGTCCAAACATCGGTAAATTACTTTTTTTTATCTGCCAATGCTAGGAAGTAACTAAAAGTTTCCATATGACTCCCTTATGGCTGGAGGCACACGCGTCATACATCAACAGGGATCGTTCCGCATCCGCTTCACAAATCACCTTCAACGCGGGCTCAACTGCTTACGCAGCTCTTCTAAAGATTCCATTGATCGCTGCTGGTGTGTTAACAGATGCAACGCCGCTGACTGTAGAGATCACAGTCGCTCACGACGTCAGCATTGGAACCTCGCATGACAGTGACATCAGCTATGGCGTGTCCGACGGAAGTAAGTTTGTCGGATGGCAAACTGTTGATAAGGGAAATTACGGAACACATTCTCCCTGTTATGGCATGGAGGGTTCGTCGGGAGTGACTCTAAACTCAAGGCGTTTTGATCCTTTAACCCCTAAACCAAGCGATTCCTTTTACCCTGGCCAGTTTGTCTTTACATTCAGGTTGGACGAGCGCTGGGGCTCCTGCTACACTGCGCATGACGCTGGCTTCGTAAGGACAGCTGGCTACAATAACCGGCTTGTCCTCAGCAAAGGACTCATTCTGGAAGTTTATAAAGGAGATAAAGGAGAGAAAGTTGGCATCAAGTTCATCAAAGTCTCTGTCACGAAAGATTCTTAAATCGGAAATTTAAGAACGGAATTGTAAAGAAGGCGTGAAATGTCACTGTTAAGAATCCTATTAGCTAGTGCTTAAGGCCATTGAAAAAGATCTGCTTAAATAAAAAGATCTTGCTTTTAGATCCAGTCGAGTGTATATGATGAAGTAACCCTTATAGCCGTTGCAAATAAGTCAAGAGGTTATAAAGTGTGAAACTTCAGAAAGTCATACGCCTACAGGGGCCAGAGGCCGGTTTGTCGAAAGGCTCAGTAACTTTTCAAATTCAAATTTTAAAATCAAAAGCTGTTGAATAGTAGCAGCGTTCCTAGACACACGTCACGTCACTTTTACTTCTTTTCTTTTAGTTTCACTGTGTCATTTTCAAAATCATCGAAACATTGCTATTGAATGAAAACACGGCAAACATAAAACAGCTTTTTGTGTCCGAAAAGGTAACGAGACGTTCGAGAAACGGGCACAAGAACTGAATAGCTCTTATGAAGAGTATATTGATCATAGATTTTGGACTGAAAAACGTATGGGAGTTAAATATTTAGGAAGGGAAAAGAGGATTTAAATGAAGGGAAAAAGCATATTGTTTATATAGCTCCATATTGTTTAAATAAATTTATAAGAAAAAACAAAACAAAACAAAACGAAGCAAAACAAATAACTTTCCGAACTTTTCACAATCAGATTTTATTACGATTTGTTCGGATATAAGTGAACAAGGGCAATAATAATTTAAACAGTTTCTTGCAAGGTTAGTCACCTCAGTCTATAGAGAGCTTGAGCAAAAGCGTTTTTGAGCGACCCACGTCAACTGGAAGTGGAATTTTTACATTCCTGAGCAGTGGTTTCTTGCAAGGTTAGTCACCTCAGTCTATAGAGAACTTAAGCAAAAGGGTTTTGAGCGACGCACGTCAACCGGAAGTGGACTTTTTACTTTCCTGAGCAGTGGTTTTGCCCAAATTTTCAGTTAAGCGCCTCTACAAGTGTAAAAAAACTAAGCAATACAAATTTTAGAGGGAAAAGTCGTCACTTCCGGTCGACGTGTGTCTGTCAAAAACGCCTTTGGTTAAGCTCCCTTATACCACAGCTTCACGGCCACCACAGGGTACTGATGCGACCACAGTCCACCCAGAGCCATCCACCTTTACCTTAGGTGCTACTTCCCTTCCCACCGTACTGTTTACCATAAAAGGAATTCCATTCCTGTCTGGTAAAAAGAGGTATAAGGTCTTTCCATTGGCGACTTGTTCCGATAAATATTCCCTCCACAGAATGGACGCTATTAATCAGCTTTTCGTTTCGGAGACACCGCTTCTTGCTTGAGCAACTTTTGACGCACTTTTTCGATTGAGTGCTCGGCAGATAAAGTCGCCTGCATCCAAGAGTTTTTCCAAGTCTACTCCCTTTTTGAGAAACAACAAAACGATTACAATCAGTAATGACTCTTCCCAGGTAGGAAACAAAAGTTCATACTCTACCAGATCGCTTTTTATGGCGCCGCGAAAAACTATTCGGTATTATGAACAGCAACCGCTCGGGGAGGCACAAGTCGTTCACACGGATTGGCCATCGTGCCGGCCCGTTTGATTGACAGCGTGGGTGCACTTAATTCCAGCCAACACTCCTGAATATCTACTTCCGTCTCAGTGGGTTCCAGTCCTCGCTCTAACTTATTAACTTCCGGTACGGGCCGAATAGGTGTTTACACTGCACTAAAGTATGGCACAAACCTATCCGATATGTGACGCTCCACTTTCAAGATCGCCGCAGCGCCGCTACGCTCTTTCACAGACATAATGGACTACGAGTGGTCCCTTACTTTCCCTCAGGGATAGTAGAGCGAGTGAAACGCCCGTGAGGGACAATGAGGGACTATTCGTAGTCTAAAAACACAATAAACGTACCGTTTCAAGGTCCATTCCATTGATCATGTACACGACATCTTCAGTAGAAACATTTCCTGATGCGCCCCGCGCATATGGACAGCCACCAAGACCGCTGACTGAAGCATCTACTGTCCGCACACCCATCTTCATTGTGGTGGAAAAACAAGAAAAAAAACACACCGATATAAAACGAATACGTACCGACCTCAAAAATCATTAATAACATTTTCCCTCAGGTAAAACCTGTCGCAACATGTTCTGCTATTAAAATACAGTTACGACTGAATTAACTAAGAAATGTAAGACCCTGATGTGCGTTCATTACTAGGGTAAGAAGAGCGAATCGTCCAGCCTCTCATGTGACAACACTCATCATTTGATCTAAGCTAAGCCGCTGTACACATCGAAGAAGTCTCCTCGGGTTTTGCTTCTTAGCAAAACCGTACGGGGGCACTACGCAAAGGTAAAATTTAAAAAATATAATACCTTTTTGATGGGGTCTATTAACAACATCTATTACCTGAGATAAAAAAAAAAAGAAATGCCAAAGCCCTGCCCGATAAAACGAGTAATGCAATCGCTAGTGAGATCGTTGAAAGTCCACTGTGTATTGGTGCGACAGTATCACCCCTTACACCTTATATATTTTCTCGGGGAAAGAATAACATTTTTAGCGAAATCTTTCGCGATTGGGGAGAAAACATACGTTGCAAGAAATTCTAGTTGCGGGCACAAACAGGTCTCACAGGAAATGATGGTGAATCTCTTTATAAAAACTGGCACTAAGGTAAGTGTTTACTTACTTGCAGTGCAATGAGGATATTTGCTAAAGCTTGCCCGTATGTGTCATGACAGTGGATAGCCAAGTTTTCCACTGGTACTTTCTTCAGAACGTCTTCCAGCATGGCCTGTGTTGAGCCTATATAAAAAGAAACCTTTTTTTAATGATGAACACATTCAAGGCTGCATATTTATGAATACACTTTTAGTCTTAACATTCTAAGTTCAAATCTGTGATAAACATCAATTTTCTCCTAACAATATCGATACATAATCAGAGAAAAGTTATAACAATTACTACAATGATCACTACGGGGTTAATGATTTCATCTTTTAACGAATTCTCTCAACTTATATTTTCAAGGAAATGCATAGAGATCCGTCTGGAGAAGTCGCGCGGTCGTCGATACGTTAATGTTAAAAATAATCTTAAGCTTAAACATGCCAGAGTCATCGGTAAGCTTTACTTTTATTTATATATTATACTTTTACTTGTGTAAACTTAGTGTCGCTGAAACGAAATGCGGTCGTTTCGCCCGAAAGTCCATTCGCCCGAAGGCGTTCGCCAGGATATTGGTCGATTCGCCCGATGACATACTAACACTCTACAAAAAGGTGAAAATACCTTTAGAGGTGTTATTTTAGTTACCCTTGGATTCCACATGTGCAGTCACTGTCTTTCCATGCATATTCCCTTTTTTCAGGCTTAAAGAACGACAAATACGCCCTGGGCGAATCGACTTAGTCTGGGCGAACTGCTATCGGGCGAGCTGACCTTCGAGAGAAACGACCTGATACCGCTGAAACAACTAAGTCTTGATAGATTATGTAGGCGAATCGACCTCGGTGTAGGCGAATCTATGTGTAGACGAAACGACCGGTTTCCGTATGTACAGCTGAAGTTTGGTGTTTCAACTTTACCTGGCGTCCCTACACCAATAGTATCACCCAAGGACACTTCATAACACCCCATTTCGAACAAATTCTTTGTAACCTGTTGGAGGCAAATCAGAATAAAATGTATTGCTATGCTGGTAAGTAGGAGGAATTTTTTTAATAGCGAGAAGTTTGACTGACATCGTTAACTACAGTTACAAAATAGGTAGATTAACCAAAGTGATTACCGGGGTAAGTAGTGTCCCGGGGGGGGGGGGGTAATCCCATATATGGGCTATCTAGGTACGTGCCGCGGAATAGGGTATGGTTTTTGAGGTTCACGGTCCTTAAATAGGGTATCTTTTTTGACCCCGTTTTGTTTCTGTGTCCCTGGTGTGGTCCTTAGATAGGGTAGCTTAATTGTATTATCTATATTGGAGTGTGAAAACGCCCGCCAAAACGAACATGTTTTTTAAACTAGGCTTATTCTAGTATTTTATGCTTGATGCTATACATCCAATGTTACAGAGAAGAAATAAAGTTTTCCTTTTCATGCTACTAATAAGTTTGTTTTTTCCTTGAATAGGGTGTCATTTTTCGGCTTTGGGCCTTAAAAAGGGTATCAGTTTTCGCTTTGTTAGTCCTTAAATAGGGTTAGGGTTCACGAACCTTCGCGGCACACCCCTATCCAAAATGCGCGGGAGTACCCCCCCCCCCCCGGGGGTAGTATGAAGAAATTTCAGATTTAAAAGGGAAGTTGGTGGAATGGATAGAATGGAATTCCCACCCTCATCCTGGCCGCTTCTGTATCAGTCAGATGTGGGTAAAGACCCCCTTAAACTGCGTAAAGATGCTTTCAGTAACCTAAACCGACCGTGTAAATCTAGCCTGCGAGCTCAATGTCGGTCGTTTCACCTACACGCAGATCGATTCGCCCACATGATCTAAGTCGTTTCGTCCACACATCTGAGGTTGATTAGCCAACACAGTTGCCCTTGAAGTTAGATAAGTATGAAACTAAAACAAGTTTAATTGTAGGCGAATCGACTTGTAGGCGAAACGACCGGTTTCTGCGAGCTCGCCTCTCCTTTCGTGTTCTGCTATTGCGTGAATTCTCACGACTCCACTAAATGAAGAGTGTGCTTGCAGGATACAGTAAATCTTACCAGTGAAACAGCTTTTGGAGGTACAAAGCCTTCATAAGGACACCCCACTATACAGGAAACATACCTGAAGATAACATGAGAGACCCAAGATAATGTCACTTGCAAATTTTAGAGAATTTTTGTTCTCTACTATGCCTCTATATTTTTTCCAACATGTTCATGTCTTTCTTCAAATTTAATTTAAGTATTGAACAGGCAAAAAAGGTTAGAATTATGTCTTTTTGTCAAGATGTCCAAGCTTAAAAGAAACAAGTTGTCCAAACAAAAAAAAGTTGCATGTTGCAAGTAAAAAATATTTCATAGAATTATTACAAACAATTACGTTTGGATATTGTATTATAAAATTGAGGTTTACATGTACAAACCCTTACCCTCTCACAAGGATGTTGTTCTTCTTTGCAGCTTCACACACAGCTTCAAACCTCTGAAGACTTTCTGATATTGAGCAATTAATGTTCTTCCTTCAAGCAAAAACCAAAGATTCACAATGCATAAAACATTCTGACATAAGAACTTTCAAAAATATAGTGTTCTACTGAGCAGATATATTAAACTAGTACTTATGCCCAGTAATGCCACCTTAAAAGCATTTCAGTTAGATTGGTGGAAATCAAACAAAACTTTTCCAGTTCTTTTGCTGCAAAAAAAAAGAAGAAGAAAAATGCAAGGATGACATATCAAAGAACTAGATGGTTAGCCCACAGAATTACCCCTGAGTAACTTTGAACTATTGTTCCTTACAGGAATCTACTAAAATCATTGTATGAATAATGCACTTTTTAGAGAAGTAGACACATTCCCTCTTTGTATTTGACACCCCCTCACTCAGACAGGCTGGCAGTAAGATTTGTAATATGTACACCCCCACATATAAAACTGACTTTTTCTCAGTCTACACATATTAGAATCATTTATTGCATTATTTTGGATAGTAAAAATAAATATAATTAAAATTTGAGGAAATTAATAATGACCACAGGAGATGCTGAGAAATAATATCATTTTTATCTTACAAACTTTCCTTGATGCTATACTGTTATTAGAAATTTTCATCGACTTCATCAAATTGGTTTCAGGCATTACTGGGAAGTACTGAGTCTGCTTTAAAAGAGTACAGTTGTACCTTTTTAGTATACATTTTTAGTAATATTCTTTTAAATAACTCACCTACTGAATGACTCTGATGCTGCTCCAAATATGGCCACTTCTTTGACTCCACTCTCCATCTAACAAAGAACAAAGAAAGTTGTTAGAGATGATAATCAATAATGATGACACATTCAATATATATCAAAAGAATGAAACTGAACAAATGAAGGAATATTAGGTTGAATGATCCACTGAGGAACAACAGGTTTCAATTTTTTTTTAAAAAAAAATTAAAGTATTTTATTGCATAACTGAATGAAAAAATTGAGTGATTTGCATTTTTCATCTGCTTCCTAACTGTCAACTTTCACCTCCAGTAACCCTTCAATGCAAAACTAGTCTGATCAAACTCCTTCCTAGCTTGTGTCCCATACGCCCTTCTCCTCAGCTTTTGAATAAACATGGCCAGGTCTTTTGCTTCAAAGTCCTGATCAGTTCCCATAAATACAAAAAACCAGGACAAATGTGCATATTGAACAAAACACCAGCCAACATTTCATGCGACAAGCTTAATACCACCGCAACCTTCCACATGAGTTACAAAGCTATTAATAACATTCACTAAATGGTACAATAAAGTCAAAAGGTTTAAGAATAAAAACAAAATGTAACATACTGCTGCTTCAAAACCTTTGAGGTTTGGTGTAAGAGCTGGGTATGAAATGCCTGGAATCCTGTTTATTCCTGTCATGACTTGTTTATGGTCAGCCATCTATTAGATTAAAGCATCTTGAATTTGAAAAATAAATTTGATATTTTTTTGAATGAATTTGATAAATATACATACATTCTCATATTGCTAATATTTTTCAACAGACATGTACCAACTTTTTCTGATGTACATGCTGTAATATCACATAAATTGTATTTCAGTTTTTCTTCTTAGAAAAACACATGCCCTAGGATTAGATGAAAGGAGAGGAAGGTGGGTAGTGGAACAAAATTTTCATGGACACTTCTGAGTCCATGTTACATCGTTTTTTGCCATTTTCTTTGGCTGATCCTTGACTGAACAGTGCTCATTCTTGTATGGTTTGAAATATCTCTTCACCATGCACAAGTTAGCTGACAAATTTGTCCTTTACCATTTAAACTGATGATGTCACAAGTCGAAGACGGGTCATGGTCACACAGGTGATTAAGGGTGGTTCAGGGATGAATGGGTGAAGAAAATAGGAAGCAGTTCTGTTGCTAGTTATGAAAAAGTCTAAACTATGTGGAATACCTGGGGAACCCATTTGGGTGATACAAAACTGGTTGCTTCAATTGACGAGAGACCAGTTTTTGACAGCATGTCAATCAACTTGATCTTTGTTTGTGTTGGAACAATAGCCTGTAAAGATACAATGATATGGTAGAGTACTCCATATTAGTAGTGCTCCAGGCTCAACTTGATGGTAGCGCAGTCTTTCAGTAAAAATTGATGCCAAAAATGCACTGGGGCTGGGGAAAGACAGGGCAGGTGAGTCTTATTTTTGCTTTGCTTGCTAGTATTTACATCCCTACTATACTATCTGAGAGCCTGACACAAGCTAACTCCATCTTAAATTGATCCCCTCAACGTGTAACACAGGAAAAAATAACGGATTCCCATTTCTGGATATTTTAGGGTATTTGAAGAATACCCATAAAAATCCCAAATTTGGCAAAGTGAGACAAGTCCCAACCAGAGAATTCCCAACCAAGTTCCCTGATTGGGGCTTGTCTCACTCTTCCAAATTTGGGATTTTTTGTGGGTATTCTTTAAATACCCTGAAATATCCAAAAATGGGAATCCGTTATTTTTTCCTGTGTAATATGTCTAAATAGGAAGGTGACATCTGCCTTCAGCTTGTGTTGTGTCTGTCTACATCTAGTGTAAGGCTTTTTAACAAGGAGTAAGTTAATTTGTACATTACATATCTAAAGCAATATTAGAAGGGAGTTGCTGCTGCACATGCATGTACTGGGTATCAGATTGAAGATGTGTTGTTGATCTTATTGAGCAGAATAGAATATGTGCAGTTGAACCTCACTAAAGTGGCAACCTTGGAGGAAAAGGTAAGAAGCCATGCTAGAGAGGTGGAAAAAAGTTTACAGGCACCTCATCTACCTGAGGGTACATTTGTAAGGGAGACAAGAAAAATTAGGTAGGCTGTTTAAAGACCACTTTGTATTATAAGGAAAGAAACTTGTGAGTTTATGACAAGGAATAGGGTGCTAATGGTGAGATGGTAAGGGATAGAAGAATCATCTTTATAGATGGAGCCAAGTAAGGGAGGAAGATGTCATTTTTTTCATTAACAGAAACTAGAAAGGCTAGAACAACGAGAGAAGACATAATTATTCTCTCTTCACCTCTCACCCCTGGCCTTCAGTGGGGGGTTTATTTGTAGTGGGTGGAGGAGATCAGGAACAAGATGTCTGTCGATCGAGTACGGTACCTTTTCATTCTGAAGTCCATCTCTGGGTCCCACTTCAACAATTTTGACTTTCCTGGCCAGCTGACTAACAGGCTATAAAATGAGATCAGAAGTCACAATAATTTCAAAAATCGTTTTGATCTTAAATAGGTTCAGGATTGTGCTGATCATGTCATTAACTTGAAAAAGAAGTAAGCAAGAAAGAGAGTTTCAATATTTGTCTGTTCTTTTCTTCAGTACCTTGCTGGAGAACTTCTTGAAGGTTGTGCGAATCATTTGTTAGGTCTTTTTGAGAGATTTTTCGTGTAGATTAACACGAGGCCTTGCGAAAAAAAGAGCCCGCGATGCCAGGGCTCACCGACCCAGTTCCAGGCTCTCATCAGATAGTGGGGTGGGCGCGAGAGTATAAGTATGTGTAATCAAATGGTGACGAGTGAAATTAGGGAATAATTTCACGCGCGTTTTATCCAGACGATGGAAGCATATTACAGTTGAAATCACCCATTGATGTAATATTCTTTTCCATCCGCATTAAGCTTTCCGACAGTCTTTGAATGCAGAGAATAGTTCAAAGGGTGAATTCGGAGGTCTGTACCACGTTGCAACAATAAAAGGCTTACTTCTTGGCTTGATAATTTCAATCGAAAAATAGTCTCCTTTTGACTTTTTTCCCCTTTGCCCCTTCTATTAGCCACAAATGCCACAGACAACGATCTTTTAAATGTCTCTTCAACTCGTATCTTTATTCATCGAGCTTTTGTTATTGTAACGATAGTATAACTCTTAATTCTTATTTAAGACAGTGCTGACCTTATATCAATACATCCTGGTCTCTAAATATATTCTAAAATAAACTATTTTTTTCACTTATATTAGTTAGCTTTATTTATAGAAGTGCTTTTATCCAAGTGATTAGCTTGGGCGCCTCAGGTCTCCTACCATTAGTTTGCAATTGCGAGACAAGGCGGCCACGCCACTTTAGACACGAGAAGGAAACTGGGCCGAGTAAGCTTACGCAAAGACTTCTGGGATCGTTACCGGGGACGCGCCATCGCCATTCAGCTACAGTCCCAGAAGTCTTTGCGGAAGCTAGCTCGACCCAGTTTCCTCCATTCAGCTATTGGCCAATGTGTTCTCGACCCAGTTTGCTTCTCGTTTCAAAAGTGGCTGGAAACGTAAACTTTATTCCCAGGGTTCTCTCGCGTGGTTCGAGAAAGCAAGAGAGAGTTGTTCTTTTGTTCCAACGTAGTCGCCGTGATGTTAGGTGCTAAAAAGCAATTTCCTTTTCTTTCCACGGAGCAGACATCTGATCTGCAATCACTTTTTCCTTAAAAATGGAGTTTTACTTATTCACAAGTAAAATTATTGGCACATATTTTTTCTTCACTTTTGCATAAGCTCTGGTTAAAGATTTTACAACAGCAAATGACGTATGCCTCAAGACAACAGCACATGACCCATGATACACCTTGTTCCCCTCTCCCCACCCCCCGCAAAGGATACCTATTGTTTCCGATTTCTTGAGGGTGCTGACAACAATGTTAAACAAAAAATGGGGGGGGGGGGGGGGGGGGGGGTATATTATGTGAAATTTGAAAAGGGTTTTTTTGAAACCCCCCCCCCCCCCCCTCCCGTCCGCTAAGGGGTTGCGTTAAATTTCTCTTATTAAAACAACAAAAGATCTATGCCACAAAACCACAGCACATGTCCCCTGATACCCCTTTGTCTCCCCCCCCCCCCCCCCCCAAAGGGTACCTTTTTTTTCCGATTTCTTGGGGGGGCGGAAAACAAGTTTAAAAAAAAAAGGGGGGGGGGGGGGGGCGCGAAGGCTATATTATGGATAATTTGAAAGTGGTTACTTGAACGCACCCCCTCCCCCCATGCCAGTCCGTAACGGGGTTGCTTAAAATTACTCAGAGGTCACCCTAACGTGGTTTTCACCAAAAGAAAGAATTCAAGTATGTTTTTCTAGAACTAAACTCAAGGCCATTGATGCATTCTCTCCTCCTACGCCCACACATACACGAGAGGAAGGAAGGGTTATTCTTGCATGTCACCGAATTTCCCTGAGTAAATATATATTCAATAACACATACATCGAATAGTGCTTATTGCGTGTGCGAGTGATTAATTCGAACTAACAATTTAATGACAATGACGATGACCACGATAATGATAATGACGACCACGTACTACCGGTGCAGTTATGATCTGGACCTAACGTAACTACCCTCTGTGCTCATAGTCACAGAGATTTCTATGAAAATGTCCACACGAGCGCCCACCCTATTTCACGGTGTTGCTCACTGAACCAGATTGCGGGAACGGTCAGTTTACGTCAGACAAGCTAACTTCACCACAAACTGTCACGGTCCATATTTTTGCCGTAAGATCGTCGGGATCGAGCACCTACCGTTACGGAGGGCCATCTTTGTTTCAAATGTACCGAGTGCAGCTCGCGGCCCGCCCCCTCGGTGCATTTGAAACCATGATTGCCGGAAATGACGGTGACCGCTCAATCTCGACGATCTTACAAAAAAAAGGGACTTTTAACAGTCTAATTTCACCATGAAGCCTCATCTTGTAATTAGATATTTGCAAATTCAATTCTCAGTACAGCAATATGAAAAGTATACCCTCGACTAAACATTGCTCATGCGAAGAATTTTGATCACCAGCCAGGCTCGGAGGCTAGCACATAGGAAAATTTTAAATACGGGGCGCAAGACAAAGGATGCCCGCGCGAGTGGGTACGCTTCCTCCTCGCGAGTGTCCTTCTCCCTTCCCCCGCCCCGCCCCCCACAATTTTCGCCCTAAATTTCTGCACCCTGCCACCCAGGCTACAAGGTGGTGACATTGGATAGTCTGACGTCAACAAACATACGGGCTATTAAAAGCAGTGCCCCAAGCTGGACTCTAGAATACGAAGCTGTGCGTTAGGAAGTAGGGACGTCTTGTTCTTGTTATACGTGGTCTAGAACAGCTCTCCGATTGGAGCGTGGTTAAGCCAAAGTTGGTGCATAAACGTGTACAGATTGTCACTTAAGGACACCTGAAAGTCAAAAAGTAAACGAGAGTTAGTTTAACCCTTTAAGCCCTAAAAGTGATCAGCATCAAATTTATCCTTTTAATATCAATGCTGTGTAAAACGGAGTGGTCATGAGAATAACGGACATCATCACAGAAGATGAATTTGCTTGATATTTTATCAACTTCTCCCCATTACTTCTGTAGGAAATGAATAGGGGCAACAAATGAGAAATCACATTTTGATCTTGGGGTTTAAAGGGTTAATGTAGCGAAATTAAAGCAAGCCTGGAAAATACATTCGTGATTGATTTGGTTTTGCATTATTGCTCACAGTAACTGGCTTTGATTTATCCACCCCACCACTCTCCTCAAATGGACTTTTTTCAAGCGACGAAGTCCCACAAGCAGCTTAAGAAAGCTTTCGCAACCAAGACGGCGACGACAGCGAAACAGTCGCTGTTTCAAACTTTTAATTGATTATTACATTTTGTTCAAGTTGAATTGTCAAGAGCAGGCGAATTTTCCTGACTTGTGTCTACGTCCTCCATAACACGTGAAATGTCACGTTAGTCGTGCAACGACGGCAAAAAAAAAAGTTCACAAGCATTGTCCCGACCCTTCGGCCTAACCTCTCACCCTCAAGTCAGCATGAATTTGACACAACGTAAGTAACTGAGTTAGCAGTTAATCCTCTGTTAGCCTGTCGGCTAGCTTTCCATCTGAGCCAGGATATCGTGTGAAGTCACGCGCGAGCGGCACGCGAGAGGAGACGCGAGATCTACGCCTCGCGTCGGCCGGAAACTATATCTGAGGAAAACACTATAACTTGACAAACGTGAAAGATACCTTATATGGCGTAGGATTTAAACCTCTGAGATGGTCTTGTCTAAACACCTTGAGTGAATTCTTAACTCGGTCTTGGACCTCCTTTAAAGGCGGCAACGGACTGCAAATCTGACGATTCATAGGAAATGAATGAAGAAAACTTGTTAGTGAGGGTTTTAACATTTCATTTTCCTTCTCAGAAGCTTAACTCTTCAAGTTCCAAGATTGACGAAGATCAATTTTCATCGGACCATATCAATACATAATCTGGAGAAAGGTTATGAGAATATGAGTATCTAATAAATGATCACCTAAGGAAAATGCTTTGATCTTTTATCAAATTCTCTCAAATTCTCTTACAAAGTGTTCTGAGAACATTCTGGAGAATTTGTATTTGGATATTGGAGCATAAGGGAGGGTTAATATCAGAGGTTGTAAAAACAACAGAAATTACTCAGCTACAAAACGAACCTCGTCTACAAGTGAAAATAACAGTAAAAAAAGTGTTAGATTAATGCTTTCACTCCATAAAACGGCCAAAGTCAAACTTCGAGAAAAGTTTCAAATTTAATTTAGTGAAAAAGAATGCTAAACAACTCGGCAATTACTAGGTAAGCAAGCAGAAAATCTCTGAATACCTCTTAGACTAATGGAAAGGTTATCCAGAAACTTTACGCCTTTCTTGAGCTTCAGAAATTTCTATGCAATATTTGCTTCTTCGAACAGTTATTCTAAAGAAAAAGTCGTTAGGTGCCCCTGAGTTGTGCTTACGTCGCTAGTGCCGAAAAACCGGGCTTCGGTAACGAGACATACCAGTCAAACCTCGCTTTACGGACACTCGGTTAAAACAGACACCTCATTATTACGGACAGTTTTGCTTTGTCCCTGGGGAAGGAAAGAACTTACATTTTCTCTAAGGGCCTGTTTACATGGAGTGGGGGACCCCGGTCTAGTGGCCTTAGTGGGGTTGGTTTCTTTTGTTTTCACGCCCTGGGGGACACAAAACAAAAGAAACCTACCTCACTAGACCGGGGTCCCCCACTCCATGTAAACAGGGTCTAAATTCAACGCTCAACACACACACCCCGTTAATACGGACACCTTCTATGCCTCCCTAAGTGTTCGTATTAACGGGATTCGACTGTAGGTTGAACCGATGGATACTGGGCGGTATTGCTGTTTAATTGAGTACCTTGCCTTCTTTCCAGTAAACATGGTATAAAGCCTCTACTTTTGAAGGGCAAACATATGCGCGCTTGGCCTCATCAAATGGATGTCGACATAACACTCGTTTTCCAGGTGAGGGAGGCGGTTCTTCACATCTCTGCATAAGATCAAGAAGTGCGCCGCCTGTGAAAGAAAAGCACAAAGAAGCTGAGTTCTTTGACAAATCAGGATGTAGCAGCTGCTCGGAAGAGAGTTACCAATGGTGCGTTTCCCTGACCCCAAACAATAATAAAACAATTGGAAGAATGGAATATCATATTGTTTCCTGCGAACAATAAGGAGAGACCTTACGAGCAGCTCCTACACTACCCACAAATGAACTTGATGAACCGAGCAATAGTGAAAATTCTAAAAATTATTTAATCAGGGTGCAAAGAAAGTCATTTCTACAGCTTGCCATTGAGGCAAGCTCAATCTAACATTTACTAGCCCTAACATCATTTCAACTAGCCCCAAAAGCGTTTTGATGAGCAGATTGATTTCACAGTTCTTCTGTAATTTGAATTCCTCAAAAAACTTCACTTTCTCGTCGGGCAACTTAAGAACAGAATCCTCTAGCCCGATAGCAAAATCCACTAGCCCCGTTCACGCTGATTTAATTTGTGACACAAGAGAGAACAAAGAACCTAATAAACAAAGAGGTAAGATATATATTTGAAAGAACGTAGCATCCGATCTCCAATAGAATCATCGAAGATTACTTGAAATACTCAGGTAAGCCTCGGTTTTACAATCCACTTCTCGCAGTTCTTGGTATCTGGCTATCGGGTGAAACGCTCCTTCTCCACAAATTACTTGAAATCTGCGCAGTTTCCATTCAGTTCTCAAAGTGCCTCTTATGTTTAGAACACATTACTACAAGAACTTCTCCGAAAAAAATTGCGTTTTGAACAAAATGAATTTTTTTTAGCAAACTTTCAAGTCTAAATTTCTTTGGCACACCCGCTCCGCTGACCACGAAATTGACAGGCTCATATCTGACGTCATAAGACAGAAACTCAGGACTGAAAGATGGGATTTTATGCATATTTGAATCACGTTTATGCATGTTGGGTCGCCAGTGTTGTTACATCTAACTGCGATGCATTTTAATGGCAAAGCCGTTTTAGTTCTTGAATTGGAAGAAATAATTCTAGAGCTCCACACTTTTTTACCTTCATATAAAATCACGTGTCCCTTAATTTACGTTTCAAAAGAATTCTAAAGAAATTATGTTGTGTTAGAATGGAAAAATTATTTTTCTAGAGGTTCTCGTGGTAATGCGTACTTCCAATTAAAAAAAAATTAAAAAATTTTAGGTTATGGGCACTTAAATCTTACCATCGCCACCATACAAGCGGAAAGCATTCTTCTTTCCTGGTATTGTGACTTTCTCAATATCCTGGCTAAGCTTCATTCGTGCATCTCCGTTTAATTCAACCAGCTGGGATTAAAAAACACGATTTACATATTACTTGGAAATAAAAAACTGTAACGTATATTAAAACAGTAGATAGTCAGCGTAAGGTTGGGCTGGTTAGCAAGTTTCCTTCCCCCAGTCAAATAGAGGATAGCACAAGAAAACCTTAGTAGCTTTCGCTTTTCATTGAGAACGCGTTCGACCGACTGTATTGCGAAATGAGAATAAATAGCATTTCCTTTTTCAGGTAAAAATTTAGTAAAAACATCCACAACCTTGGGTGTCTTACAGGTACAGTTCCTAAACTATTGCTGTTAAGTTTTCTATGGTTAAATGACAATGACGTAGCCTGCAGAACAGGCGTTATTTTATCGCGTTTTTCAGGCGAGCGCAGGCAAGCGCGGGGCGAGCGAGGTGCGAGTGACACGCGCGACGGCACCTTCCTCCCTTGTGCACATCTCGCGCTCCACTTTGCCATTTGATATGACAAAGAATGAAAAAATCAACATCCTTAAAATGTGCGCCAGAACAAAGTGAAATTTGAGTCAGAAAAAAAGTACCTCATGTTCTTCAGACTAACAATAAAGTGATGCCACCCTTACCTTAAATACACATCCCAGAGCGGGCTGCTTTTGACACGTGACTAGGTGCGTACCAATTCCAAAGGAATCTATAGAGTGACCCTGATAAAACGAATAAAAGAACAAAATAAGAAAAAAAGGTTCTCTGCTGAGTCTCTGCTTACTTGGTCACCGACTAGTAAGTAAAACAGTTGCTTTGTTGTTGTAAGATTTGAAGGGCTTATATAGAAAAGGAAAACGATAATGCTTGAAGAAAGTCAACTAAACACTTATAGCAGTAAACTCCCACCCGTAAGTTCTCTTGGCTCGTCACGCAGTCCTCACTCGGGGCAGGAACGCGTGACGAACCCCTAAGAACGTCTGCGTGCGAGACTTCTTCTCACAACCGCTTCTTCAACAAATGCACCAGGTATGAAAGGAGAAATTAGAGATTGAACACGTAAGGCAAAGTTACCTGCTGGTTGAGGGAGAATAATGTGTCCTCGTTAATGTCATTACTAGCAACAATACTCCTCTTTGCAAACCAGGGCAAACCAAACCTTGATTATTCAAAACAATGAAAAGTTAGAAAATATCCAGTAAAATAGTTACACACTCACAAAAACTCATACTTGCTAATCTCAAGTCAGACCCTACAAAAGATTTGATATGGGAAAGAATTACAGAACCAATATCCTTAGAATGCGTGTCAAAACGCTGAAGCACCCGAAAGTCTTAAGTTTTCTGAGCAATTTGTAAGGGGTAAACCTTAAAGCAGAAGTAAACTATGAAGTTAAAAGATGAAAAGAAGCATTTGGTAACCTCAGTGCTGTCAACACTCCCGGATAATCCGGGAGACTCCAGATTTTGAACAGTTTCTCCCGGTCTCCAGATTAGAGTCTGAAATCTTCCGGATAATCCCCGAAGTTTACCATTTCTCGTAGATTCGACTTTCCGACAATGAAAATTTTGCGTTGTTTGAGCTATTTTGCTGTTAAAATCGAACGTTTCCTCACAAACTCCGGTGTATTCCATTGTAATGTAAGCAATATTGTGATTTGTGGGAAGTAAACCAATCAGGTCAGATGTTAAAATTCCAACAACATCTTTTTCGCGCGTTTTATGCACAAATGACATCATGTCAGTGCATTCTGACGTCATCTATCATCACTTTCCTATCAGTTCTCAATATTTGAAGACGTGGGGGGTTGACAGCCCTGTAACCTACACAGGGTCGAGGGAGTTACAGGTTCTTTTCATAAGATATGTCTTAAGAAAACAACATTATTATCATCACTATTATCATTATCATTATCATTACATTATCGTTACCCTCACTGGCTCCAGAAAAATGAGCGATTAACTTACACTTCAGCAACTTTCTCAAGGGATGCTCTAATTTGTATTGACTGGTATGCTAAGTCTCCTGAATCAAGCCTTACTCCAACAGCTTGGTATCCAAAATCGTGCAGAGCTAAGGCAACTGCGCAGAAAGCTGGAATGCCACTCCTGAGATGAAAAAATAAAAATATTAAAAAAAGTGCCACATAGTGAAAACATCAGCAATAATATAAACGTAATTCTCTTCCTGTGGACCCAGTTGTTCAAAGGACGGTTAGTTTTCTTTTTCTTGTGTTCTAAAGCATTTTCTTGGATAATTTTCTCTTTTTAGAGCTTCCAATCACCATCTTGTAAACAAAAAGAATTAAAACTGAAATGCTTTTTAAGCTTTCAAATATGAATTAAAATCTCGCACTAACCCTGGGTTATCTTAACCCGGCTTTGAACAAGTCGGCCCTTGGCGCCCAAATTTGCACCAGGATTTGAGTATGTGCCATGACTGGCCTGTTAAAAGAACCACTGTCAATTTGCCCATCAGATTGAAAGGAAATTTGAAACCCATTTCCAGCAATTCACAGAGTCCAAAGGGGCACAGAACAAGGATATGGCACTGCTCCACAGATGTTACTAACCGGGATTAGATTAGAAAGTACATCTGTGATGTACAGTAGCCTACAGGGCTGTCAAAAAGGTTTCAAGTGGCATGCTGATAATGAATAATAGGCGGCTTTGGAACTCGCACCCAAGGCACAAGTTCTTGAAGGTTGAGGCATGGCTAAGGATGGCAAACTAGCCAGTGGATTTGGCCGGCTGCCGGCCCTTTTTGACAGGCCTGAGGCTATCATTAACATCAGATTAACTAATTCAACTACATACCTGTAAACATCATAAGTATCAACTAGTGCTAAAAAGATATTTGGAAATGCAACAGCATATGCAGCAAATGCAGCAAGTTCACCCATGTGCACCTCACTTTCTAAGACACGCAACACTGGTGCTACTTTCTTCAGCCAGTCACAAACAACTGGATAGAAATCTCTGGGTTCCTGATTGGAGTCTTTTGGTCGCAGCTTGTCAACATGTGGTAGTTCCTCTGGGGTAAATGATGTAATGAATGCATGTGCTTGGGTGCCTTTCACTGGGATACCGCATAACTTGCCTGCTAAAACATTACTTGTACCATCAAATCCTAAAAATAATGAGATTACAAAGATTTACAGTTTGAAAACTTATAATGATAATGCCATAAAAAAAGAGCAGATCACTGAAGCACTCATAGAAGCAGAGAAAATGGACAAAACTTACAGTGAACAATCACTGACTTCACCACAAATAAGTATTGCTTAAATTGGTAATTGGCCTCTTTTTTAAATAATGACTTATTATACTCTAATTTTTAATTATTGTACTACATCCCATCACCCAAATTTGGGGTCTTTTAAGTCAAGCTGGCAATCGCTTTCATGTATGCCATAGGTTACAATTAATTTTATTAGGAAGCAGCATGGCTGAGTGTTCACCACGTCGGACTCGCAATCTGGCAGTCTCAGGTTTGGGTGATACTCTGGCCACTGGCTGAATTTGTCCTCAGTTACACCAGGTTCAAATCCTTGGCCATGCTTGTAAACAGCCAACTGCAGTTGCCTGCTTATCCTGCAAGTTGGGGTTTTTAATCCTGTTTTGTTATATTTGAACTATTTGTTTCTAATTATTATTTAAGTCGAGTGCCTGTAATCTAGCTGAATAAGCTAAGTGCAATTTCCACTATAAAGACACTTAGACTTTGATGGGGTCAACAAGACTGAAAGATATAGTGATGCCATTTCAAAGAAGCCAACCCCTTTGTTTCCAACTTATACTTTGCTAAACATTCAGATCATTTATCCAAAATAAATGGCACAGAAGCTTAGTTAACAGTTTCCATGCATGAGCTCTTGACTTAAATTTCATGTTTCTGCTTTTGGTAATTATTGATAGGCAAGATGGGTGTTATATGGAAGACATAACTGTGTGCAACATGTACTGTGATCACCACCTACCTCCTATGTAGCAATATTTGGATGCTGATAAACCTCCGTCAGGTCCCTGGGATCTTCGCAAGCCAAATTCAATTAAACTTTTATCCCAGCCAGCAGCAAGACGAAACCTAGCTGCATTGGTTGCAACTAAACTGATAAAATAAAACAGATAGAGTACAATATTAATATTATGATGAAAAATATTACTATTATGATGGAAAAGCATTGCTGCAAGGAAGAACGATACAATAATAATAAATTACTATGGGATTTTCTTATTCAAACTGACCACAAAATTGAGCACAACAGACCAGCCATCGTAGTTATAGACAAGAAGGAAAGGAGCTGCACAATAATAAATATTGCTTGCCCATTTTGACCATGGAGTAAGTCATAAAAAAAACAAGAAAAAATTGAAAAGTACCAAGACTTAAAAAGATAGCTGAAGTGCCTGTGTAATTGTAAGGAAGTTGTGCCATTACCAATTGTCATTGGTGCCCTCAGAACAGTTAGCAATAGATTCCATCTGTATCTAAACAAAGTAAGACTTGAAGGAAGTATGCAGCTGTTACAAAGAGCTTTCCGTTCACTGGGAACAGCAAGAAATTATTATAAGAAAACTGATGGATGGGAATGATCAGGTTGGAAGACCAAGAAAACTGTGCAAAATGGCAATAATAATAATAAATATCCATGAATAAGAACCTACTGTTGGCTTGCAAAATAGGTTCTTGTAATTTGGATCAATTAATTTTTATTGCAATTTAGGCTCAGTAGGTTCTTAATTAGGTTCTTAATTTTTATGAAGGAGATAATAAATTGCTGATTACCAGAAAAAAGAAAAAGAACCTGCTTGATCTTGTATGGCTGAAACAGGTTCTTGTATTTTTGGGTATCAAAGTGACAAATTTTTGCCAGGAGATTCTTACAATGTAATCTAGTAGGTTACTACCGGTACCTTATTATTTGTGGGTGCTCATTGTAGTTGATTTCTTGTCTTGTTATAATGATGAGGTGAGTCATCAAAATTTCAAGTTTCTTTTATATTCATTAGCTGATTTTTATTCAAAAATGTATAACAAATCTATTTTTATCAACAAATATTATTTTATAAAAATATGCAAATACATGTATACAAGTAAATACAATGTTATATATTAATGCAGTTTTAAAGACAAGACAAGTACCTTGCAAAATTGACTAAATTAAGAAGAGTTGTTTCCATTAATTGAATAACTGAAAGGCAAACGAATAAAACATTCCTTTGTAACCTTCATTACTGGTAGCTTGTGTATGGCTTGTGTGAGGAAAACTTCACTGTGGGTGCAACTGTATCTCAGAAAAAACTGTCAAGGCTACACTCTTTAAAAAATTGAAGGGAGCCTAATGCTCTGAGCCTGTAAACTCGAGGGCGCCTCACAGAGGATTTCTATAAAATAAAACTAACATTTCAAGAGCAAAAGTAATTAGGCACCATGGGTGTGAGAATAAGATGCTGCTTGAGCAAACCCTGACTCGGAGATGCCAACTTCTTAAGATCTAAAATCTTACACTTCCCCCCTCCCCAATTTAGTTTACTTAATTTACTGGTATAATTTACTGGTAGTTTACCAATAATACAGTGTACTACCATTTTTTTAAATCTAAAATACAGTTATTTGTCTACTCCTGTAACTGTTCTTTAGTGTGAGTAATCTAAAATGCATGAAATTCCACAGTGTGAGTACAGTTAATAGCAGGAGGTATTGGTAAAGGAAACGTTTTCAAAAATTTTGTGATCTGTTCCGTTAAGCAAACTTGCAGTGCAAAATTAATACAGTGTAGGAACTATCAGCATTGAAATACCTGGCAATGGACCTTCTAATCTCATCATAGGAACTTTCGGAAACACTAAACTTCCTTCTAAGATGGAACTCAGCGTGACTTTGCTAGAGTCAATTTCTTTGAGGAAATTATAAAACTCTTCTTCTACTGTGGGTGGTAATATGGTCTTGAGATAAGTAATGTCTGAAATGAAAGATCAATTTCTAAATATTCTTCACACAAATGGCGCCATCTATTTTGCATAGATTAATGAGGAGAACCTTCTATAATAAGTCTGCAGGGTTCAAGGTTTTAATGCATGCAAAACCAAACAGGTAACAACACATAAGAAAACAGGTAACAATATACACTTAATGTCAGATCCCGAGGGAAACAGTTAGTTTTGTTTTCCCAAGAGTCCTGATGTTTCCCGAGACGAAGTCGAGGGAAACATCGGGACTCGAGGGAAAACAAAACTAACTGGTTTCCCGAGGGACCTGACATTAAGTGTTTTGTTATATTTCTAGACTTTCACTTCAACAGCAACGAGAGAATAACCGGAGCGAACCAAAACAGTCGACTCGGTACTTATAGCAACACAAATTTAATTCTCAAAACCGCTGAATGAATGATTTACAAAGTACCTTCCCTACATTATCTGCATCATTTTCCTCCACTAGCTGCTGTTTTTCTTCTGGGAACTTCTTGGATAACTTTTTAAATCGTTGCTTTTTAGCTTGAGGCTTCGTGTTTGTGTTGTTTTGTTCATTCACGAAAAAGAAAACTGACAGGACCTGGCAGTATTTTTCCCGCCTTTTGTCACGCCACTTTCCACCATGCTTTGATCACGTGCTGCAATGTATCCCGAGCGGGGTACATTGCTTAATGTATCACGATCGGGATACATTTGATTTTAGTCAAGGCCATGTGACCAAGAATCAACCAATGGCAGTCCCTGTTTAGTTGAGTGAAAGTCTAGGAATATAACAACAGTTATTGCCTCATGGGGTCACAAATACTGAAACAACTGAGGTGCATTTTCTGGTGAAACCTAATAAAACTGTTAATGATTGGTGCTGCACCTGTGTACCTCAGTGTTTTACTTTCTTGGATTGAACTGGGCCAAGAGGTTGGCTTGGAGAAATGAAATGTTCCATGGGGAGAACCATACCAAGTCTTGTAGTTGCTGCAGGACAACTGGATATAAAAGTAAATTCCAACTCTGATACTTAACCATACATTGTATCTTTGATAATCACTAAACATACATTTATAGTAATATTGTGAAATGCAAGCACGAATTAAGGAGGTTTGGATGTCAAAAAACTAAAAATTTATAATAATTATCACAGCCATTGTGGTGCATTTTAGCTTTGAATAACCGTTAGAATAACATTATTATTATTATTATTGCTCTTTAGATAACCTTTGTAAAACACTCAAGACAGTGTTTCATCTGACAGCTCGTTTACCTAAAAGCTGCTCTAAAAAACTACAGCTCACGTTTCAGCTGACTTCTCAGACATCTGGATTAATTGAATGCAGTGTCTTGTGTTTGAGGAATTATTTCTTTCATTTGTATGACCACATTGATTGAATATTGTCAGGAGAAAATAGTCACTGGTCTTTAGGATCACAAGGATTAAAACACCTTACCTTACAATGAAAAGACATGTTTATAAAATAATAAAATATAATTTTAATGCATTTATAAATGTTTTAAGATTTTAGCCATTTGGAACCAAGAGACAATTTGCATGTCATATGATGTTTCTTGTATGTCATGTGAGCTATTTCTCCCTATAAGTCCACAACACAAAAAAAGAGTTCCAAATAAACCACATCTTTATGTATGTATTTTGCATAATTGGTTTGACTTGAAACGAAAGTCGACCATCCAGTAGTCCCGCTTCACTTAGCACCAAATTTTAAAGAAGATCAAAAAAGTTAACAACTTGTTAATTTTTTTTTATGACTGTGCATTTAAAACTAACAATACTTTTATATGGACCATATCAGGCACTAAGTTCAACCTGATGGAGTCTGTTCCCATTATAAAGTTAAAACAATTGGAAAATTTGGACCAGATTTATTAATGTTAATTTCCCATCTTGTGGTCCCAATCAAGTTTAATTAAGCCTACATTTAACATAAATCCCATTCAAAAAAGCTTAAGGTTAATTTAAGCCTGAGGTTATTTTTAAGCTTAAAGTTATTGTATCCGAAGGATCTTCGTCCGAAATTCACCAAACCCAAGACGTGAACGTGAACCAAGCAATTTTAGTTACTAGCAATATCAATAACCACACCTGAATCGGAAAACTTGAATTTTCGCACGAAATGCACGCATTCTTCGAGGCCTGCGAAAACGGTGAATTCTCCTTGAAAAGGATTTCTGCGAAAGTACAAATCAAACACTGCATGGTCCATGACTTTTCCACTCTTCCAGTAGGCATAAGCCATGGTTATTTGATAAAGATCGGTTAAAAGTGGCTGAACTAAAGGATTCGAATTCGTTCTGTCCTCCACGGCCGCCATTTTCCGGTTGAATGAATGACTCACCCACCTCCCGGTCAGAGATCGGTTTTGTCACATACGGGACCTGCCGTATCATCTCGCCGCGGTGGTTTCTTTGAAGAGTTGTTTATGAAAGTGATGTCATTTTCCATCGAAAATTTACTTGAAAGAGCTCATCACTCCAGCAGCATTTTTTGGTAGCCTTTCTGTAAGTAATAAGCCGGCTTTTGCATGATTTCTAGCCGCTTTTGTTCAGGGGATAAGGGCTTATTTCTTTTGTTATTAGTATTCTACTGAGTTAAAGTGCCATTGTTCATTCTTTCTCATTCGATTCTACCGATTCTCTTTGCTCGCGAGGACTTCATACCTACAACTTCCAAGTCATGAAAATTGCACTGTGATTTTAAAGGAGTGGGAAGCAAAGAAAGAACAAGAGCATTTTGGTCGAGAATAACTTTAAGCTTATTTCTCTATCGTGCATAAAATACTTCCACAGCAGGTTTCAACATGCTTTTTTGTTCATTTTCTATTTTAAGCCTTTATTCGAAGCTTTAAACATATAGAATTAAGATTTATTCGGTCATTCATTTTCTTGTATTTTTTTCGTTGCTGCCAGTTACACAAAACAGGCATGTGTTTTCTTATATAACATCGTTCTTGGGTGTTGCACTGACGTCATAACGTGGAAATACGTATGATAATAAATAGCTAAATTTACATGATCACTTTCAAACCATGTTAAGTCAAGCGCACTTAGAAGTTTTAAAAGCCAAAGAGCATTGCTGCAGTTAATATGATGTATATTTTTTTCTTCTCTTCATGTACACTAATAACCTCCCTCTCAGCTGTTTTTGTCTCGTCACGCAACGCTCCTCCCCAACAGACAGCTGCTCCCATTTGAATAACGCTTCTTTTTAATTTATTTATCAACCTACAGAAATGACCAATCATTTAACAGCAAATTTAAAATGAAGGCAGTTTTCGTGCAAAGATCGAGCCTATCTCGATGAAAAAAATCAAAGCTGACTTGGGGGCCTTTTCTTTCAACAAAGAAGCATCAGTAATTACAATGAAATTAAAGGATTTTATCTATTTTTAATATTTTTTTAGCTCTGTTTTAAAATTAATTGATGAAAGAATTGTGTTTTAGTTTCAATATTTTTAGCTTCATCTAATTGAATTTTGTAAATAGTTTTTATTTCTAGTCTGTATGCTATTTTTATTCAGCTAGTTAGTTATTATTTTTCTTGATTGTTTGTACTATAGTGGGTCCACATCAGCCTCTGGCTGCCCCTTCTAACCTGCTCAAATAAAGTATGTATGTATGCATGTATGAGCCTCTGTGATTTCTGGTTGTATCAGAGGTGTCAGCCACAACAGGCTGGGTTCTGTTTTGCACTGAAGCAAAGATTTAATTTTTCCATGGCAAAAGCTGTAAACACACACTTGGCACACTTGTGTTTCACTTAGAAACACAGACCAGGTATTGGAATTGCAAATAAGAAAACACAAATACCACTTTAAGTGGACATCAAATTCAATTTCACCATGGATAGGTAATCAACTCACAGCAATTTAAAGTCCTTTTTTTAACTGAAAACCTAATGTACGCGATAAGACAAATAACGCCGGGCTTTCTTGGAGACAACTTGACACCATACGATACAATAGAATACAGGCTATGATCAAGGTACTTAGCATTCTATCTCATCTATTCTGAAAATCCTTTTGCTCCTATTGTTGATTAAATTATTTTCTTAGTATTTATTTAATTTTGAGGGCAATGAAGCCACTAACATAAATTATTTTTAATGTATAATTAATTTACATGTTTTCTATTACTCATTTTTTTAGAGGTTATAGTGCTGGACTTTTAATCCGGCAGCCCCGAGTTCAAGTCTCACCCTGGCCTCTATCTGGATTTGTTCTTGGTAGTCACAAGTCTAAATCCTTAATCATAGCAATCAATAGCCAGCTGGTTTGCCTCCTACCAGTTGGGATTCTCAACCCTTTAGTCCCAATAGTGATTAAAATCAATTTTCTCCCAACGATATCCATACATTGTAAAGAGATTAGGTTATGAGAGTACATAAAATGATCACAAAGGGAAAATGCTTTGATCTTTTATCAAATTCTCTCAACTCATTCTGTAAGGAAATGTATAGAGATCAGTTTGGAGAATTTGTATGTGGATATTGGGGCTTAAAGGGTTAACCTTGTTATGTTCCACTTGAATTTGTTTTTTTTCATTATCTCTGAAAAGCCCCAATAAAGGGAGCGCATAATTTTAAATACTTAAAAGTATTTATCTATTTATCTAAGGATGGCAGAATGTGGCACTGCAGAATGCAGTATGGAAGTTGATGGCTTTGTCAGAACAGGACGTACTGGTCGTCGCAATGCTCTTCCTGACATAATGGCTATGGGTCATGCAAGTGTATCAACGGCAGGTCTTTCTGAGGTCCTAGAAAACTTCACCATGGGTTCATCAACAACACAGGCAAATAATGGCTTGCAAATCTCACAGGGTCAACCCCAAGTGGAGAAGATGGAGTAAAATGATTTGTTGTCATTTTCTGGTTCCTAACAAACCACATAATATAAGATAAGATATCTGGTTTGTAATGACCTTGTATCCATTGTTTCTCTTTGGAGTCTCTCTTAGCCAGTAGATACAAACATTGAAGGAGAGAATGTGGACACGTTGTAGGCCCTTGGATGCTATGAAGATCAGACAGCTTAAATTTGAAGTCAGTGAAAAAGTTTAGAAATTCTACAATTCTAGAGGAAGAGAGAAACTTTGTTATAAAATTATTGTTGCATTTATGAATGCAATTGCCATGTAAATACCTTTATTTAATTTAAGGAACAATGTATTTTCAGACATGTATACTAGTAGTAACAATAGCATAATTTTGTCTGTACTTAATAAATTATTCAACTTTGACTCTGTTGATGTCCCCACTTTTCTGATGGCTTTTGCACTTGATGGCAAAACATCAGGTACTGTCAACAGTCCTATGAGATTATGATCAGATGCCCTGCACCACTAGGGACCATTAGTGGAAAGGTGATCTGCATGATGACCCCAATAATGGCTGCAAAGGAGACCAGTAGGTTTAGTTGTGATTAGGTCTTCAAGATTGCAAGAATATTACGGACTGTATGAATATCATGGGATATGAACCTGTTAAGGAACTGGTGGCATCATTAAAATAAGTTCTGGCAACGAGTGATCATGATCCCGCATTCCCAATGCTGTAGCCTGTTCCACGCTCCAAGATAGTGGGGAAAACGGAGAGAAAAAAAAAAGTGAGAAAAACCGCGTGAGGACTAGGAGAGAGAGTTTCCCGCCTGTTTTTCGCTCGCTCGCTTTTTCGCTTTTTGCACGCTTTCTTCGCTTCTTGTTCGCTTTTTTCGCTCCACTGAACGCATCCTCGGAGACCCAGGGGCAGATAGTGTGGGCGAGGGAAAGTCTAAACAGGCGGAAAAATATGGCACAAAAGAAAAGTAAAGAACGGCGAGAAGAGCCCTAAGGGAACAATGTCTTACCAGACCAGTTCCAAACGGTCGCCGGCGTTCTGGCTTCTGATTGGTGCCAGAAAAACACAAGTTTTCTGGCACCAATCAGAGGCTAGAACGGCGGCGACCGTTTGGAACTGGTCTGGTAAGACATTGTCCCCAGGGACTCTTCTCGCCGTTCTTTACTTTTCTTCGTAACTTATTTTGCCACCCGTTTAGACCTTCCCTCGCCCACGCTATCTGCTCCTGGGTCTCCTAGGATGCACTGAACGAGAGCGTGGCACAAGCTACGATCCTGACGATCCTTTCTCAGGAGAATCAAGCATCCCAAACGTCATTCATCACTTTCCCGAACATCATTTTCTTTTCCAATCCACATCTGTGTCCAAATTTTGGTAAATCCTGCTTCCCAGATTTCAGTCAGAAGCCGTACCCTTTCAAAGTTTTCCTGAATCCTGCAGTGTATTTTGGTCAAATCCCGGATCCATGGAATACCCTTCTGAACTCTATTAAAAAAGGTCAACACAATGACCACCATATGAGAGTCTGATTAGAGGCTCAGCTGAGCTAGGAACTGCTGCCGAGTGAATTGCATAGCAGGGCTGTCAACTCTCCCGGATAAACCGGGAGACTATAGATTTTGAACCATTTCTCCCGGTCTCCAGAATTATTTAGGCAACTCCCTGCCGATGTTACTGTTTAGATTTTAGCTCATTAGCATACGAACAATCCAACAGAAGGCCTCGCTGTATTTACAAATTAACTTCAAACTTTAAAAACGCTGGTTAACTTGAGCAAATTGTGCAATTTTTATCCTTTTGCAAGCAATAGAGCGGTTTTCACTTGACTGTCGAAAGGGATTGGTTTTGGTTTTGGTTTTGGTTTTACTACGCCCTTTGGTTGGCTAGTGTATTTACTTTGGTTTTGGTTTTACAACAGTCAAGTGAAAACCGCTCTATCTAATTAAGGAAACCTGCGAAATTGCTGGGTAGCAAGAGCGTCGATCTCAAAGGTCTGTGAATCTGCCAAAAGCCATAAAAATTACCCTGAAACTACTTTTTTCTTGTAAAAGCTATATTCGTGTATTTTCAGGAGGAGCAAAGAGGTTAATAGATTGATCAAAGACGGCCATATATGTTAGGAATAGCAGGTTGTGGTCACACGGCCCTCTTCTCGGCTCATCCTCGGTCTCGGTGTAACAACCTGTGAAACTCATGAGTGACATAAAACAATGAATGCAAAGAAGCCAATGAGAAGTCAACACAATAGACTCAAGGAAAATATTAGATAGAACACAACGAGGAAAAACTTCACTGTTTTTTACACCTAGGTAAACCTCTCTTCCCAGAGGCTACCATGCAGTTTCAGAAAGCTTTCTGAAAGACTGATCAGGATGCAAATTTATCTTTTACTTACAAGGAGATTGTTAATCAAAAATTTGTTGTAGTGCATACATACATTCATAGATACATATTTTATTGGATTGTCCCCACAAGGCTTTTCAGAGTCAATGTTACAATAATAATTTAAAGAAAAAAAACTCAGAAGGCTAAAAACAAGAAAAACAATTAACTAACTATCAGGTCCACATTCCAGCAACACTCAGTTTCCGCTTCTACAGTACTATGATCACACAGTTTTGGTGCTTCCGGTGATTCTCGGTGATTTCAATATAACAGTGTCTATTTATCAACTGAACATATTTCACAAATAGGAGTATGTTGACTGAAACTACATGTGGTTAATAATAACATGTTTTTTTTCTCATAAACAAACACAAGCCATAAAAATATACATTGACACATAATATTCATATAAACTGGGTCGTGAATGTTTAGCTAAACAAGAACCGCACGCCAGCTTTTTTATGAAGCTAAGTTCTCCTAAATCTTGGCTTCAGAGCTGTTAATGATAGGATCATTATTTTCTTCCTCGGATGATGAACGACGAAGGTATTTGCGTTCCTTGAATAATAAGCAGTGAAGAAATGCTGCCAACACCGAGGCTAAGATAGGCCCAGCCCAGTAGACCTGAAAAAACAGATGGTTAAATAGTGGGATCAATTTACTAGGTTTGTGGGAAACTGCCCACCTACCCCTCCGCTAAGCTAACATTGGCCGAATTTATACTAGAGACGAGTTATCCGTCTGGACGGATTATCCGTCAGACGGATAATTCATCTAAGTATAAATCCGAAGACGAATTTTGCTCCATAGTTTGTCTAGCTATTTTAAGCGAAAAGAGCGTGGGAAACAGGAAAAATTGCGAAAATATAGAAACCAGTCCCTCTCATGTGGAAACTTCGTCAAAAAATCGTCTAAGTTCCGTCTAGATACAAATTTAGAGACGGATAATCCGTCTAAGATGAATTATCCGTCTGTTAGCACGTCTTGAGGACGTGCTAACAGACGAATCAGCCTCAGACGAATTTTGCTCCATAATTCGTCTTATCGCCGAATTTATACTAGAGACGGATTATCCGTCTAGACGGATAATTCGTCTCTAGTATATAAATTCGGCCTTTAACACTTACTTCTCATTCAGGGCAAAATGTTGGCTTAGGGGAGGGGTAGGCGGGTAGTTTTCCGGAAACCTAAATTGATCCAAATAGTCATGGTCAGTAGCAGCCTATTAGCAACTGTTAATCCAAAAGGCTTGCGAATTCAAGATTTGATACAGCCTCTTATAATTCTTAAGCTCTATGTAATTTTAAATATTTCGCTTAATGTTTCTTGGTTAGTGCCGCAAAATATTGTTGGATCAGTCAGTGTCTTTTCGTCATTTGGTGCCCGCGACCGTCCGAATTACCAAGAAACTGTCGTAAACCAATGAATCAGGCGCCTGAAAACGCGTTTGAGCGCAAACCAAGAACAATCTGAGTCAAGTTCTGATTGCAGTGGTTGAAAAAGTCTGAAAAGTACATGGCGTGCTAGCCTGCGAACAGCAGGCGTATTTTCGGAGGGAGAGAAGTGACGAAAAAAAATGAAAAATGCGTCTGCTGTTCGCAGGCTAATGGCGGGCCGGACGTTTCAGCGAACCACAAAGTGCGGTAACACTTCTTAAACCCTAGCATGCGCCACAGACGAAACCAACAAATTCGCTCCTATTCTACGAGCCTTCGCTAAATTGTACCCAGTGTTCATTCCAAGTGTTTGTTATGACGGCTGGAGCAAAAGATCTCGCTGGGTTCACTCCGCAACCAGTTATCGGTAGCTGCAAGGCAATAAAGACTGAATCAACAAATTGATGTTTGTGCATCCTTACTCCTCTTATATCTACAGGTCTGATTCCCGCTTTGCCGTTTTAGCAGGCTTCCTCATTTAAGTTGATAGAACCGTTTTCAGATTCGGTAACTGAACGTAGAGTGAAAGTTTTTGAAAACCGATCAATCAGCATTAACATTCTGAGATCAGTACATGTATAAGGCCGCAGATAAACAGTGGGGTTGGGGCACATGCAGTGGGTCTTTAAGCCCTCGTTCGATTGCGATATATTAAGCATTGTTGCGAAATTTACCCCTGATTCTCCCTTCCACTTCCCCCCTTTCCTCTTCCGTCTCTCATAGCCCATCCCCGAACCGCTCCCACCCTCTATTCGATCCTCCGGAGCTCCCACCAACCTATTTGCTCACATAAATAGCCTTCTAGCTAAGTCTTTCTTGGTTCTTTCCGCTTGGCCCAGAAGACGCGTTGGGTCACCGAGAGAGCCACATTCGCAAGAACTATTGGATAACTTAATTTAACAGCCAAAATAGTCTTATTTTTAACTTACCGCGATGAGATAACACAGAGTGACGACCACACCCAGTGCAGCAGCTGTCCCATAATCCCTCCGGGCCGCCTCTTTTTTAGCGTCAATAGATGACAGCATCGTAAGCACAAGTAGAAACGACGCAATCAACTCAACTCCAAAGGCCTGGACACCACTTACGTCTCTTCCTGGGAACGTTGCTCCCAGCTTCCCGCGAGCATGGGCAGGACTTATGGCCATTACAACTCCCGTACCAGTGATAGCTGAAAAACAGGCAGAAATATGCAAAGAAGAAGAGATTTTCTACCGTGTTAGGATTTCAAAGAAACGGTGGAGGGTCAACGCCAAATGATGGGCCTGCTCTAACTTATCCAAAATAAATAACAATTATTCACCGAAGTGGAGGTGGCTAGTCCTGGATATTTACCGAACTGCGAAGCAGTGAGGTAAATATCCACGACTAGCCACCGACACTGAGGTGAATAATTGTTTTAGTATATACTAAAACAGTGACATAATTGAGCACAAAAATGACGATTTTTAACTCAAATACTGTTGCCAACGATTACAATTTTGGCGCGTAATGACCGGGCGGCCGCGGCCGTCGCTTTATCTTGCTGACAATTAAAACATTTGAAGGCATTTGTTTACCTCTTGCGGGGAAATTTCTTCAAAAGGAGTTGTGAATTCTTTTTGTATTTAAAATCATTCTATAAAAAAAGATTATTAAATTTAGTTTTAAGCTTATTTATGAACAACTCAAATAAATAAAGTAAGCAAGACTTAAACTTAATTTGCATTTGTAAACAAAAAACTTTTTCACCGGTTTTATCGATAAATTCGTGTCAAAAAGACAAGCTTTACCTGTTAAAACTTCCAATCCGAACTTCGTCACCTTCTTCGGGTATTTCGGGAACAGCTTGCTTGATTAGTTATGAAATTTCTTTGTTTGTTATCGGCAGCAAATACGCGAGTTTAGCGTCGCTCGCTCGGAGGAACCGGAGGTGAATCGGTGAATAGTGCAGGATATTCACTGATTGAGTAGCCAATCAGAGGGCGCGAAAAACACTATCCACTGTTTTAGTATATACTAAAATGCATTGTTCTGCTGCCGTAGAGAACTTTTGACAACCAATCTCCTCTTTAGAGAAGAATGTCATGTTCGTTTCTGCCTCGGCAGTATGTCATAAGTTCCCTTCATGGAAAAATAGAACTTTTCGGAGCTTTTAGGGAATTTAGGGCAACAAGTGGATAAATATCAAAAGGAAAATCGAAGTGGATTCTGGTAGTACTCAGTAGTAGTAGTAGTAGTTGTTATCCAGTTCAGTCCTGCTCGGTGTCAGGATAGGGCTTTTAGCTTACGCTGCGTCCCGAGATTAACGAGGTTTAGCGAGACACACATTTGTACTTATTTCCTACCTCCAAACATTTGAGCGACGATGGAGCAAATCATTCGAATCAAACCAGCATCTGAAGTGATGAAAGCGGCAAGTGACACAGCTGGATTTGCGTGAACAAGAGGTAAACTCACAGATCTGAAAGCCTGAATTGAAGAGGCGGTGCAAAGTCCTGCTGCAAGAGCTTGCTGAAATATAGTGGGGGCACCTTCCCATCTCAAAGCTGATCCCGAGACAGCGAACATTAAAAACAACGTAGCGAGGTACTCGGCCAGTATCGCTAGCCAGAAGTCGACATAAAACGCTTCACTTAAACCAACTAGAAGAGAGAAGAACACAAAGGGCCAGTTATTTAAACGGAGTTTAGCTAGTGTTTAACAAAACCACGTTTTAATCCATACATTTTCAGTTTGCCGAACGCTTTTATGTAAACACCATTTGTTGTGAACAGTTTCATGGCGTAGACAAGAAAAGCATTTGTCTTCTCAAATTAATCCACTAAGGAAAAGATTTGGAGGTTCAAAGAGTGCTTATTAACCGCGGTCTAAGTTAGTCTTCTCTTAAATAACCGACCCAAAATGTTTAGTCATAACTTGATTTTGGCGATCACACTAGATATAGAGTGCTATTTTCGTAGAGGGTTTGAGCTTTACACTACAATGGCAGTCATGGTTTAACTACTAAAGCAAAAATTTCCGAGAAATACGCCCCTATTGACGAATCTTTTTCAGTCTGTGCCTAAATATCAGGCTTAACTGCTTTGCTCAAACTCACTCAAGCTGTATCAAAAACACTAATGAGAGTTTTGACTTTCTCTTCCACTCTCTTCCGTTTAGTACTAATTTACCAAGTGCATAGTAGCTTTCAAGCGCTCTTAGTTTTCATCCGATTCGATTCGAAAAAACATCATTAAAATCGACGATATCTTCTCGCTGTGGCTCAATCATCAAATCTCGGATTAGCCTGACTAAGTTGCAAGTTAAGAATCAAAGATACCAAGAACAAGGAATACGTTTACCGTACGGTGTGCGAAATCTCCGTGCCATTTTCGCTTAGAGTACAGGTAGTTTGTAATGAATCTTTCCCTTAACGTAGATATTCTGGTATTTTTTCCACACATTCCACAACAAAGGAAAACAAACAATGTTCCATCAAGAAAAGGTAAATAAGACAACAAACCCTTTTGTGTTCTTTAATAACAGAAGATACTCGAAGACAATCCTTGTGCATAGAAACCTATTATACTTTACTATTAATAGATTTCTATACATCTTTATACATCATAAAATTAGAAGAGGCAAACTTTGTTAATCAAAAGTAACCAAACTAAGTTAATGGCAAAGGCCTCTTGATGACAACAAAGATCAAAGATCATAATAAATCATCGACTAAATGAAATGAATTTTTTTGACGAACTGTAAACTTAGTTTATATTAGAATAGATCAGAAGGGAGAGGGTGACTTGCACAAATTAGCGAGGAACGCAACAGTCATTAGAGTGGCATAACGGTTTAGAAAACAGGGGCACCCAAGGACAATTTTCGGAAAATATCTGTTCGGAAGACGATTTGAGATCTAGAATTTTCGGAACATTTGTTGTAAAATTTCTTGCTTGCCTGCCTCTCCTAGGATTTTCGAACATCTAAAAACTACTATAATTGCCCATTTTTAACGGATTTTTACCGTTAAAAGTACACCTAGAATTTTCGGGAGCCTTTTTTCTGGCTGAAATTTTCGAAAAGGTAAGTTTTGATCCCTATAATTTTCGGATCACTAGACTTTCAGCTAGGAAATCCGAACAGATGAAAAATTTTTAGGGGATAAAAATATGCCTATATCTACCGTTTAAATATTAAAATAAGTTTAACATGCTGTGTTTAAGTGGTTTTGAACTATATTCTCGTTGGGTGCCCCTGAAAAAAGATATAAGCTTAATTGCGGACGACAAAAGGAGCTGGCAATCCTAATCTCTAGGTTGTCATTACGCATGCGTCGCATGTATGTAACCAGCATTCGTTTGGACTTCCACTAAGAAAGAATGGAATGCACAGAAAGCAACTATATCAAGCGCGTTTGGACCTCCTATCACTAGTAACCTGTTCACGCGTGTTTTGACTATCAGATCTGTCACGCAAAACTTACGCAAACCACAGCGATGGAACAATAGCGTTTTGACATTCGATCGTTGTCGACCGCACTCCGTAACTTTTGGTTATTACTAGGATATGTTAATAAATTAGACAGGAGAGTGCTTAACTCGTACATCGATCTACCACGGTCACATAGAGACTATAGAGACCAGTGTGGGACGAATCATTGAAAAAAGAAATGGAGATCTCGTTACCTTTGGACAGTTGATACGTTGCCTGGTTACCTCTGGCCTTGACTACTGACTAAGAGGCTAGGAATACCTACCAGACAGCATAAATATTTGGCAAGATAATATGACTATATGCTAAACCATGTGGTACCCGCTTCATTTGGCCGTAACTGAGGTCAGGTTGACATGCATTAAAATAAAGGAGAGCTGAGGCGGAGCGAGTTCGACCGCGTAATTGCTCACTCTACCTCGTTATAAAGATTACATCCATCCTCTACTATCATTTTAATTTCAATAGAATAGATGAGGACATATGGTCATACCCTTTGAAGAGAGGTAATAGGGGGATTTTCTTCGAACCCCGAAGTACTATTACGAAATTTTGGGGCAAACTATTCCCTATTATTCTTGGGGTTATACTCAATCTATTCCATATTTTTTCGAAGAAAATGAATTTCAAAAAACTCTTGGACCATCTCAGTTTGTCGAATTTTAATTTTGAGGCAGACAAGTTCACAAGCTGAGATATTTCGTTGCTGTCATCGGAAAGGGGAAGAATTTAACCATTGATTGAAAATAACAAAAGGAGTAATTGCTGACCAAAAAATGGTGATTCTTTGTAAAATTTAAGCTTCATTTTGTTCTATATAAGATATTTAACTGCGTGAACTGTTTATGTGGAGCCAATACCAGCAGTGTGGTGATGTTTGCCTCATGGGCACTATCTTGAATTTTGGTTCTTTTTCTCCCAGTTTTCTTTAATTAATTAGTCATTTCCTTATCAGTTTATTCGCATTTAAAGTTAATCAAGTGCTCGTTGCCATATTACCATTCATTTACTGATCAATTAAGAAAGTAACAGGTACTTTAGCAGGTCTTGTATTGGGTAACCTCCCACTGCCATGTGTTTAAATTTCTTGTCTTGTTGTCAAAAAACAATTGACAATGAAGAAGGCCAAGGAAGGGGCAACACGAAGACTCAGAATCGCCAGCTTTCTTTGCTTATTATTCATGATTTTTGAATTTGTTGGTAAGAAATGTCTCTTTGTCCTGCTTATATTATTTTGCTTTGACAGAGCCCAACAAAAGAACGTTATCACTCACGCAAATCCGTCATATCAATTTACTACCAATATCATTTACCACAATGGACATAACAGCCATAAATATCCATTTTTTTCTTTTTTTTTTTTGTAGTCGCCTGTAACGAGGAATACATTACAGTATATATGTTTACACCCCAACAGTTAAAGAATGGTCTCCCGTATGGTGGCTACTTCAAATAATAATTTCAGTTTAATCACTCCAACTTTTTGCGCAGTCTGGCTTCATGGATGACTAGCCTTTCATACGAATTCCTTTTAACTGCTTGCTGCGACTATTTATAATTATCTTGTACACTTTTGCTGTAAGGTAGTGTACAGCTACAATGGAGGACAAAAATCCTTGGAACGGTTATGGAAAACCTTCCTTCCACATCCTTAGCTTATCAAATGTTCAGATGTAGCATAATATGCACTTCTCTAACCCCTTGGATACCGCGACTGGCCCTCCCCTCCCCCTCCAAACAATGTTGGGACGAAGAAACACTTTTAGAACAGGGTAAGTGTACAGGGGTGCACAAACTACAACATTGCTTGGGGGAGAGGGGGAAAGGGGGAAAACTTAAGGCAAATCGTGTTAATTGTCCTAAGAATTTTGTCCTCCATTGTAGCCTGTGTGATGTAGGCGTTCGAAGGTGGGGGGAAGGGGGGCGGGGGCACTTTGCGCGGCGAATTTGAATTGTGCGGCGGAATACGTGCGTGTTTATTTTATAGAGCTTAAGTTTTAAACGAGGTTTCAGTTTTGCTAAAAACTACTCCCATTACTGTATATATTGCTTATAAAATTTGTCAACTTGACACCAGCAAAGACTTTCAAGAATTAATTATTATCAATTTGACACCAGCAGAAACCTTCATGAATCTATTATTTTAATAACACGAGTTTGCGCCAAAAGGTTCTTGACATTAATAATAGGATTTTTTTTTATCTTTTTCTAACTTCTGATTAACTTTATCAAGTAACTCAGTCAATTGCTTGTTTACCCACTTGGCACCTTCTTCCTTGACTTCCTTAAATCTCAATACAACCTCGATTTTAAAAGAGAGAGGGGGCTTATTAGCTTTGTTCCCCTAAAACGGAGAGGCGTATTTGAGGGGGCAGGGGAGGATTTACGATAATTGACGACTTTGTGTCCTCTCAGTCCAATGCAGCATTCACAAGAGCCAAAGTGCTGTATTATAGCTCAAATGGTCGCATTATGGCTCTTGCATTCACTAATACTTCTTTCTATTCATCATTATTTCAGGTGGATATTTAGCTAATAGTCTCGCTATCGTGACAGACGCCGCACATTTGATGTCAGATTTTGCTGGTTTTATGATCTCGTTGTTAGCCTTATGGATAGCTACAAAGCCTGCCACTACCACTCTGTCATTTGGATGGCATCGTGCAGGTACCAAGGACTGACAAGGGGTGATGGGGTTTGATCTTGAGGGGTTAGGGAGGGGCGTGGTAGCAGAGAGAGGATCTACATGGCTCTCCAGTGGGCATATTTACAAAGTGTTGCCGAGTTTAATTTGTAAAGGACGCAAAAGGTAGCCTCTCTCTAGCCAAGCGTGGTCATTGCACGCGTGCTGAACAAGAATGCTGTATAATGACAGACTAGAAACAATAGACAACTCCCAAAGCACAAACTCAGCCAAAACGCTAAAAATCTTCAATGTTTACTCAAGTTTGGGCTTATAGAAGATAATGTCACAGTTTTTCAATGACCATGAAATTCAGAGTCCGGGTAGTTAGTTAATCAATTGTGGCCCTGAAAAAATTTGAAGGAAAAAAAACTACGAATTTTTAAGAAAATGCTTTTTTCGTGAGAAGGACTCTTAAACGCTGACAAACGTCAACAAATAGCGAAAACTATAATTTCTATATGTTTGCTTTGCTCGAAATCGCGCGCATTTACAAGGCCCTAAAGCGTTTTGCTGACTTGCAAGGACCCATCTGTTATAACGATGCCCAAAATAAAGAGATGAATCTCATAGTTTATTAGATATAATCCGTGTAAAGTTTGCTTATCATTTTCGCATAAATTATGACCTAAATTTGGAAACCGCTGAATTTCTCGAATTGGGTCTTTGCGATTTTGGTGAAACTCTGTTCAGCGCAAGGCACTAATGCGCACTATGTGTAGCCGAGAGATTTTCACGAAAAAATGCCGGCAACAGCAGATTTTCGACTCAGACCTCAAAAGGGGCGTGGCATTATAACCACGTGACATTTACTCCGATCGCCCAAAATTTTATGTTATATTGTAGGTTGATCTATATGTTATCCATTCTATGTGTTAGACTTACGATAAAAGTAAAGGTGGGGATACCAGAGAGCTTCAAAGTAGGATGGTACCCCCTAAAAAAAACTGGGTCGAGTCACCTTAAATTTGATAATCCTAGCGAGCTTTAAGTAACAAAAGCGCTAATTTGCACAAGAAAGCAAAAACGCGAAGGATTCTGGTCGTAGTAGTAAAATGACGCCATCATGCAAATGACCTATTCAACCAATGTTAATTTATTAAGATCAATAAAACAAAAGAAATCACCTTGAGGGTTCAGGGATGAATTATACATTTTTTAAATTTTGTTTTATTCCCGGAAGCCTTACCCTGCGAGCAGAGGCCCTTCGATATAGGAAGATCGAAGGGACACGGCTCGCGGGGTAGGAAGCCTCGAAGCCCAGTACAAATTTCAGTAATTATATTGAGAAGCAGAGCACTCTAGTATTTGAATTGGTCCTTGTGAATCTCTCACGTTATTGTCAATGACGAGTGCGCTAAGTTATATATTACTATTGTGAATCTTGTTTGCAGAGGTGATGGGCGCCCTGTTGTCCGTACTGTTCATCTGGGTACTCACAGGAGTTATAGTTTATCTGGCAATTCAAAGAATCATAACCAAAACGTACGAGATAGACGCAAAGGTTATGCTCATCACTGCATCTGCAGGGCTCATTGTTAATGTTATGTAAGTTGATAAAACAATTACGCTGCATTGCTGCGAGCCCTACATAGTGGCATACAAAAAATAGGACACGATTTGCATTGTTGTTACAAAACTGTTGTTTACACTGTTAGTTTCACGAGTTATATATACAGGTTAATCCCATTATGACTCTTAGAGGTCGTCTCTGAGGTAGAAGTAATTTATACACACCCAAGTGAAAATGGATATATAGCCAGTCCTTTCATCATCTTATTAGCCAAAAAGAGCGCTCAAAATTGATGTTATCTACTTTTTGGTATATCATCGCTCCTATATAATTGTGAAGTCTCTAGCTAGTCGAGCGCATTAAATACTCTTCCAAGCGTCGCATTGAATTTGTTTTGATGTAATGTAGTACTAAAGAATTTGGGGCGTGCCCCTATGGATCATTTGTTCCTCGAGTTAAATCTTTGATCAGGACTGCGAATTATCTTTTACAGATTAGCTGCGGTACTCCATCAAAAGGCGCATGGCCACAGCCATGGCTTCAGCAAAAAAAAGAAAACCGAGTTAAAGAAACCAAAGGCTTCCCCTTCCAGCTTCATCATAGAAGAAGAGGCAGAAAATGTGAACGTTAGAGCTGCCTTCATTCATGTCTTGGGCGATTTTCTGCAAAGTGTAGGAGTCTTTTTAGCTGCTCTTCTTATTTGGTTCAAGGTGAGTTTAATTGGTGCAAGCATTCGCTCTATCAATTGCCTTGACACTTAACAATGTTTTTCTAGGCTTGCATTACTTGATGCCCTGTCTACTAGGAAAACGGCCGCGCGATTTAATTGGGCCACGGAACTGGGCAGGTTACAACCTAAATCCCCCTACGTCGTGTTTTTACTTACGATTGGCACTAAAATGGATACCCCAAGTCAGATGGTCATCTTCACGTAAAATACATGATACTCTTACAACCTCAAGTAGTAAATATAAGATGGAGGAAAATAGGAGGAAACAGAGCACGTAAGGCTTGGATCACTATCATTAATGTTTTATTCATAATCCACATCCTCCACTGCACCAGCAACTGCTAAGACCGGTTATTTTTAACGTACGTCTTACGGCATAGCTTATAATCACATTTTTTGAAAGCTAGCTGATGTAAAGCAGTTCTTAGCCCTTATCATTGTGCTTGAGTTCTAAATCCTATGCACAACTCATTTCCTTGCACAACTGGCACGCTTTTCTCAATAAGCGGTTCTCTCATGACCCGGAGGATTGCGTTGTGTAGTAATCACGAGATGTCAAATCTGATTTGGGGCCATCCATTATTCTCGTCATCACAGTTACGTTTACTTCGGCTCAGCTCTACTGCACCAAAACATAAACCTAGACTCTTCACAATGGCTACATTGGGGACAGGAGTATGTGGTGGTAGTGAGAGAGGTGGATATACAAGTGAATGTATCTATGACTAAGCAGTATTATTATGTGAAGAAATTAGATGCAGACAACTTTTAACTAAATGGTCCTTGAACCGAGACGTCAAAAACAACGAAGGCGCACCGAAAAACGGGGGCTTCTTTAAGGCCATGATGCTATGACGATGTGATAAAAAGATGCCAAAGGAGTCTGTTGTTAATTAGTCATGTACGTCAATGTTTTAAAATTTTTCTTTTGTTTGTTTGTTTTTTCTCCTATAGCCTTCATGGGAGATTGCAGATCCTATTTGTACTTTTGTGTTCTCTGTGATCGTGTTAGGAACCACATTAGCTATTCTGAAAGATGCTGTTATTGTCCTTATGGAAGGTAAGCTCTAAAACACCATTACATGTATTATGGATAATTACCCTATACGAGGTGTAGCGACCAAGTGTCATTTTAAGGCAAAGGGTAAACGTGAGGTTCAATTGACGTTTCGTCAAATTAGGAAAGGATCAGCTAAAATCAAATAAAGGAGGCCAAAAAATTCCTATGAATGATTAACTTTGCATGAAACTAGTCTGGATATTCCTGTGTAGATATAATAGGGAGTGAACGAAATTAGGAAAGGCGAAACTTGGTCACGTGGTACGCAAACGTGATTCTAAATCTCTCTACACTATCTCTTAGAATTAGAACTGACGGTGCCAATTTCCTTGGTTATTTCGCTCCACAGGAGTTCCAAAAGGCCTCAGTTTTAGTAATTTAAAAGCGAGTCTTCTAGAAATTCCCGGAGTGTTAGCGGTTCATGATCTTCACGTATGGTCACTTACAGTTGGGACAACCGCCATTGCAGTTCATCTAGTGATAGGTACGTAGTTGTTATTAACAGTCTCCTTCGAGTCAGACGGGTGCATGACCAAGCTGTACAGACGGACGGCAAGACTGAAGGGAAAAATGGTTTTAAAAGATCGTCTCGTACTTTTCATGACCAATGCCTTCGTACGAGTTGATAAATGTTATTTTAGCCTATAGAGTGCTGGGTTCTGGCAGAATTACGCGGCAATCATGAATAAACTTTGGTAGTTTATGAGCCTCGCTTTCATATATTGGAAAAATCGCAGACGATCTGCGATTTCTGTTCCTTGATTACTTCGACTAATGAAAACCAAAATCCTAGTTGAGGGGATAGTTCGCGGAAGTTATTCAGGGAAGGGTCTCTACATTTTCGACTCCTAGATTTCTCCGATGGAAGGTAGTCATTTGCCACGTAAGAAAACTCAAGTCCGGGGTGTCGGAGAACGTCGGGGTACTTTTAGCTTGGGACCAATCTGCTAATGGCTCCAGTCTCCAAACTCATGCACAAATCAAAACACCGTTTCGGGAAGATCCAACCTTGGTGACAGAGGTTTTTCAAACGTGGTTTCCAGTTTTAAGTTATGCCTTTATAATGACCCACTTCTCTGCTAGCTCTCTTCGCCTGCTCGGCTGCGGTCGATGAAGCTTTTCGTCGCAAACGTCGCACCCGAAAAAAACAAAACTGGCACCCAAGTCAGGTCAGATTGCGGGTTGTCCCGATCATTACGTATCGACAAACATCTGAGATGGTCGGAAGAAAAAATGAAACCACTTATCGTCTGGGAATTTCGCAATATATCGAAACCAGGTTGTAAATGACCCGAATGTTAACCCAGGGGAATCTCAAAGGTGTATTGAAAGTTCAACACTCGGGATGGGGTACCTTCTTTTGGTCCTTCGGTTAAAGAGATCGCTTAGCTTCTCGTAATTCCCATCTCGATAATGCCTCAGGGACAGCGCCTCCTGATACGATAACATTAACATGCATTTTATCTTCCCTGTAGACGACAGCACTAGTTCTCAAATGGTCTTAGAGGAGGCTTCACGCATTTGCAGCCAAGAGTTCGATATAGACCATAGCACAATCCAAGTTGAGACTTCAAGTGAAAAAACTGCTGAATGCATTCAGTGCGATGAGCCAACCTCATAATATGGGGTATAATCGAAATCTTGAACGCTGTTAAGCGGATCAGCGCGCACTGTTATTGTCAGGCACGATGTGTTTAGTATTTGGAATGGGTCAAACCAGAAACGTTTAAAGGTTTTAGCTTCGTTTGCCTTTCTGATCAAGGCAACCGAGCACATAATCACAGAAATGGTGGAGTGCAAAACAGGACAAGGATTGTATTCTGAGGAGCAGAGAAACAGTTCTAGAGAAGAGTGACTCACTGTTAATGAACGGTCAATCGTTTGCAATGGACACCTGGGGTTGGACCTTGCCTTACCACTTCATTGACTGTCTGTTAGACGGTCGGGATTGGAAAGCTGTCTTGTTTTCGGTGTTTACTATACATTCAAGAACAACGTTTTACTTGGGTTGGAAAATGATATAATGAAACTATCAACCAACGAAACAAAATTGTCTGGTTTTTGAGCTAGGAACCGTGCTACTGTTCAACAGGTCATGATGTCAGGCGGACTCTTGCAGCTGGTTCCGGCAAAGAGAATCTTTCTCAGTGGGAACTGTCCATAGAGACGTGAAAAGGTGCATTCAGGAGTGTGAAGGACCTTCTTTATAACGACAAGAGTAATCAACACCTGATCAAAGCAATACAGCTGGTTGTCAAAGATACTCGCCTCATTACACTTTTTAAAACACTTCTAGAATCTTAAAGAAAGTATGACAAGAAATTAATGTACACCCATCGAAATCAGTTGCAGGATGGAGGAAAAGATGGTTGTTCCTTACGAATCGCCTGTTGAATCAGAGTCAAGGCGGAAAGCAAGAAAAATAAGTTCTGATTGGTGTGCTCATTACGTTCAAACTTTGAACAATTTTGACAATTTTTTTTTATAAAAATCAAAGACCAATGAGTTTATTCTTGTCTTAGTAACATTATTCACTTTTCGAAGATTAAGTGGAATGAATTCACCTCTTTGGGTTCACAAAAGAAGTGTTGACATACAGGGCCCCGTTCCCGAAAGGCCGATTAGCGCTAATCCAGGATTAAAATTTTGTTCCTGCCACTTTTTGTATTTACCTTCCCATGCATTTCTTAGAGTAACATTCCGTTTATCGTTTCTTTTTTTTCGACGTAAAGGCACAACAGTATTTTGTAAGCTCTAGTTACACGTTCTTAGACAAGAAAACCTTGCTTAAAATTTGGCTTAACTCCAGGGTTAAACATAATCATCTTTCGAGGAACTTGGCCTAGCGGTGTAGTATGTTATACAGACCTTGCAAATGATAATTTTGTACCAAGAAACTCTCTCAACGTTTAAACTTTGTTAACGTTTTTTCTACGCTACAACAACTATGAACAATCTCAATTACCTTTCTCATAGTATTTAACCAGAAGTACAAAATTAAAAACGGGACAAATCCAATGCAACATTTTATTTTTAGCACATCATACAGTTTTCAAAACATGACTGTAATGGAAAACGACACAAAAGGACACTGAGCTATCAATAGGATTGAAAGATGAATGCCATTTGTAAGTTTTAAACAGTTGAATTAAAATTCAAAGATTTTTTAAAAAATGAGAAATGATTAGTTTCTTTTTCCTGCAATTGCTACCCATTTTGCCTTTTGATCACCAGTTGTCCATCTTTTAGTTCCTTTACAGGCCAAGTTCTGCTTATCTTCTCGATCTTTTGCTTTCAGCATCTCTATCATCGTAATATCGTACTCGTTTATTTCCCTCTCTGTTGTGTTGTCGTCTGTTTCTTTCTGTTTCCCTCTGTCCTTCATCATCTCTACTGTCCCTTCTCTTGCAGTCCTTTAGGTCGGTTCTACCGTCCCGACTCTCCTTATCTTCAGAAGTCCCCTCCTCGGTTGAATTATTTCCGCTTGTACCATGTTCACCTCTAAGCTGCATCTCCAGGACATGCATTTGTGTTTCGATCAGATCACGCATGACCTAAAGAGACACAACAGAAAAATGAGGAAGTTGATCTTTGGGGTTTAAGCATTGAGAGGAAGTTATCAATGTCCCAAATTCAGCCTGAGAAGAACAGGCGGAGGAAAATCTACGCCAGGGTTTGCCGAAGGATGATGCTTAGGCTCGAGCTCCTAACCCTCTGCTTCCTTTAGTTTAAAGAACTTCTGAATCTCTTCAAGGACAGGCAACCATCTTTGTTTCGTCCATTGGAAGAAAGAATTTCTCTGTTAAACGCTACCATAAAAAATTACCTTGGTTAGAATTTTTTATCGGGGAACTTCTCGAAGTTGACGTCGGTGAAAAAACAGGCGGGTTTAAACTAAAAGAGGAAAGTATTAATACATACATCTACCGCACTTCTTTTAGTAATGTGAACATTCTTGGCTCGGTAGCTTTGCCGTCGGCGTTTGTAGTCGCGCTGTTCAGCTAACACTTCAAATCGAGACTTGGGGAGACTATTGTCCTCGTCTGTAAATGGAAAGCAAATGGAGGGTGGTGGAGAAAATATCAAAATATCAGTGGTTCACAGTAAAAGTCCACCTGAGGAGCCAGCAAAATACAGTACTAAAGTTATTCTGCTTACAAGTCCTGTGAAAATGTCCGACTTTACCTTTTGATTGGTTCGGGTTTGGATCCAACTCAGCATCAAGCTCCTCCTTTGGTCCTTCTCGTTTGGCTTTAGAAACCTTTGCGCACAAACGGAATGAACTATTTCAGTAAGACGAAGAGAGATTTGCTGGTGTGCAGGTGACGTCACGGTGGCCATGCTGGTGGTCAAGGACAAAAGCAGTACTCTCCTGGTCAACGCTTATTTCCATTCGCCAAACTGACGTTGACAGATTAATGATTCGTACACAAAATAAGGGTTAGGGTTAGGTTAGGGTTAGGGTTGTTGCTATATTTATTCAAATCAAACTATCCATTGTCAGCAAATCCTTGGTGGTGTAGGCGATCGAATCCTACTCGTGCCATTCTCAATTTTTTTTCCCTTAAAAATTGAAGAGACTTAGACTTTTATGAACAGAAATTTCAAGAGACAGAGAAATTTAATGTAAGAAAAGTGAAATCTCTTGTGAGGGCCACTGAGAGGAAAATGTCAGTTTGGCGGATGGAAACAAGTGACGACCTTCTCTCCTCTGGGAACAAAACCCAGTTTCATGTAAATTATTCGAAAAGAATTTTATTGTATTTACCACCAACATGGTCACCTTGTCACGTGGTTGCAAACCAAGGATACCATCCAAAATACTTCTCAAACCATCAATAATTCATGAAGAAAATTCAAAGGAAATTAAGGTTGAATGAGTGTTTGGAAATCAGATAAAAAAATGCTCATTTTGTATCCTTAAATTTCCCCCTTCTAAAATCATGTTGTTGGAGAAGTAAAATCAAGCATTTGACACAGTGTTTCATCACCAGATGAAACACCTCGAAGTTCATCAAAAATACTCCGCTGCGTGTCGTATTTTCAACTCTCTTCTCGGTGTTTCATCGGGTGATGAAACACTGGCTCTCATGCTTGATATGTTACATGAAGTACTAATAATTATTTTCGTGCTCATCAGAAGCACGCTATGGACTAGGAGTAGTGCAGTACCTACTTCCGTGGGAACTATATTACGACCCGCAGTAAATACCGATACAGGCGCCGGTATCAATCCCGCGACCTCCTACCCCATTTCAGACTGAGCATTCGATTTAGTTCACTGGTGTTAAAGTTTTAGATCCATGCATGGACTGCAGTAGTACGAGGAATTTGAGGCTGTTCACGTAACCGTTACACAGAAAGGATCACTCTTATTTGATCATCTGTTTTCCACAAGAATCCAAACAACGCGGATTGCCTACAACAAAACTGAACACCAACAAGAACCAGATCCTCGGGTTATCTCGTGAAAGAAGTATAAAGGAAAAAAGATCTTTTACAATGACACTAAGTTTTTAAGTAGCTGATTTACTGACCTCCACAACGTGCTCATAGACAGCAAGGCGCTGTTGAGGCGATAACTCACTTATTACACGGTCCATTGGCAAAGGCAAATCTTGCTTAGCTTTTTCTACACCAGCCTAGAAGAATGAACAAAATATATCTGACTGATAACGTTGTTTTGGCATTAACATGTCTGGAATAGAACAGAAAAAAATCCAAACCTGACAATTTTCTTTGGCGATGGAAACAGTAAGAAATTTCCACAAACTTAAAACGAATGACTGAGTGCCTGTAAAGAAGAAACAATAGGTCTTGGGAGAAAATTAATGAAAAAAATCACTGCACAGTCAAACAGTATTAATGGTATTACAGTCATGCCAGGTTAAGCATACCCCCAAACTCACTGTAAAGCCATATACCCTGTCTACGACTAGAGGTAATCAATGATTATGGATCTGCGTTCGTCACTTACAGAAACAAAATCGAGTCAAAGGGTGTCCAGTTTCCCGGCTGGGATGACCCTGATAAAATTAATAGGGGTGGCTAATTTGCAGTGGCCTGTGATAGCTCGAAAATTTCTGCCTTTGTGCCACAGGGACACCAGATTAGGATGTGTTTTGACAAACACGATAAGCCAAAGGTGACATAGTTCTACTGCACGTTTTTAATCTTACCATTACCAAGGAGATCCTGGAGCATTTGTTCCATACCCTCGGGGTTAGCAACTTTCTCCTCTTGAAGACAGGATAACACAAAACTCACAAGACGATCACTGGCACCTTCAAGAGAGCTGTGGCCAGAAAATTGAAGAAATATTGAGTGAGTGTTAACAAACAAAAAAAGAAATTTTGAAGCGGGTCAAGCCACTTCACGGTGTCAAGAAAACGGCAAAGCCATCCAAAACATTATTCAGATCTCAAGCACAAAGCTGGCTTTCATTCTTTATACCCTATATTACAGTTTTCTAAGTTCAGGCATGTGCAGAAGCCATGGTTTGGTGTTTTTGGGTGTGATTTGATAAAACTCTTTTCCTATACTAGTTAGGAATCAATGTAGCGTGGGTTTGAGTCCTGGCGTCAAAGCGATATATGGGTATAGAGTTTGTTGTTGGTTCTCCCCATTTGCTCTGAGAGGTTTTTCTCTGGGTACTCTGGTTTTTCCCTCTCCTCAAAACCAACATTTCCAAATTCCAAATTCGACCAGGAATCAGGTAAATGAAGAAACACCTAGCAGAGGTGCTACCTCTAAATTGTTACTTATTTATTTATTTTACTTTTTAATCAAAGTGGTTTATGACATTTTACAATATTGATCAATGTTATGTAGCACTAGGGGTAGGTTCCACTTGGCCAGTTGCAAAGAGTGCTGCACTGGTGTTGCAGAGATCAAGGGTTCCAACTCCAAACCAGCCTGAATTTTTTCAGGCTTTCATTTCACAACTGCAACAGCTGCATCTATAGCTGCGTTGATCTTCTTTCATTTAAGGGTGTAAATGTATTATTACACTGACAAGGCACAACTGAATAACTCATCACCTTAAATATTGAACTTTTGGCAGGTTTTCGATGATCCACCCCCTAATCCTCTCTGGTGATAAAAGATGAAGCTGAAGTTTTCTGTGGGATGGAGGAACCACTTCCCATGACATTATTGACCTGGCATTGTGACAGATTCATTCATTAGCACATGACTTTGTATGGTAACAACTGGTTTCACTAGTCTTGTTGAATTCACTACATACTAGTTTGCAACAAATTCGCTGCATATTACTTTCTGGAAACCATTGAAAATATTCCCTTAATTGCTCTAGAAAAAAAACTCTTAACATATTTCTAGTTCTTTTAAGCTTGCCCCTCCAAGGGTGCAAGTCTTGGTGCAGGCAATGTAATTTAAACAATATCGCATTCTTTTTCACATTTTTCAAAGGCTATAGATGTACATCTAATTTCTTGTGGGAGCCCCAGAAAATGAATAACAAATTTTACAAGAATTGTGAAAACACAGGTAAAATTCTGAAAATTACATGTCATTTTGTAAAGTTTGACATTTATTTTCTTGGGCTCCCATAAGAATTTTCTTTGGTGTTATTACACATGACTTATTACATCTACATGTATGGCCCCTGAAAAATGTAAAAAAGAATGCAATACGCTTTTAATTATTCTGGTAAAGGGTTTTTTCCACTGAAAGATTAAAATTACTCAATCTCCTGATGGATTCCATCTTAATTTTCATTTAATTTTGTACGTCTTTATTAAAGGTCTACATGTACATGTAGTTGCAAGATGACTTGCCCGGACCCTTGCAGATAAAAAGGCAAGAGAGCTTAAAAAGTTACTCTGCTTCTGACCAACAAAACCTACGAGTCCCAGACAACTGGATGGGACTTTTTTCAAGCCTGAGTTCAACCCTACAATTTTTCAGAAAGTGCAGCTCTGTAGACAGTAAAATCTATCCGGAAAATTCTGACATATTGTCTTTATTCCTAGTCTACCTTATCTCATTATCAGTACTGGTGTCACCAACAGTTTCTTCTTTGTCTCTGCTCTGGCCACTACAGGCTGAGTTTGCTTCTGCAAAATATTCACTGATAAATATCTTGTTCACAGCATGCATGCACACAAGAGCTTGTGTATTTACTTGAAATATGTAAATTTCTTTACCTATAAATACAGGAATCACCGATTTGGAAGTCTGATAAAAGAATTCAGGGCTTGGACTAACATCCTGCAAAAACAATAATTTACTACATCATTGAGAGTCTATGGTTACTTTCCACTATGTCAAAAATGTGTGGGAAGTTCAGAGTACTTTGGTTTATATGAAAATTTCAAGTTGTTAAGTGTTTTAACCCTTTAAGTCCCAGAATCCACACACAAATTCTCACGACTGACTGATCATTAGAATTAGTCAAAAAAATTTGTTTACTGATCAAAGTATTTTCCCTTGAGCGTACATGTACCTTATCTCATGCTCAAAACCTTTTATCTTAATTTGTATTGATATTGTTCTGAGAAAATTGATGGTGTTGACTCATTAGAATATAAACTGTGACAATGATTGTGTTACCGCAGCATCCTGCATTCCTGACACATAAAAATCCTTAAAGATGCAAAATAATTCATTGCATGCATCCCATAGGACGCAAAGATTGATCATTTGATCCATGTGTTTTTGTAGAAATATTCTGTTCATGTAATTTCCGTGGCAGTTACTAAGGCTGTTGTTTAATGTTGCATACATGTTGTGCCTTAAAATAAAGGACTATATTTTAATTTCAGTATACTGTTGTAAAGAGTTTTGGAGTCTGTCTTCATGCAGATTAACTGTCTGGGTACCTAAAAGCCCAAGCATTTTCAATTTCGGATTCATTGTTTCTTCAACTGGGACTCATTGGTTTTAGACTGGGACTCATGATTTTTCACAAAATGAGTCCCAGGACTCGCGATAACTATTTGTAACAAAATCACTGTAACTGCGCCGAGTTGTTCCATATTTTCATGGTGCACCTCTGGTCCCTGGTCCGGGTTAGAATTTCAAAAACAAGAAAGAATCACTTCTTTCAGTTTATTTACCATCACGATGTATATCTCATGAGACACTCAAATGCCAAGAAAAACACAAAACAAGATGTTCACATGTTACTCAGCAATACAATGGACCATTTAATTACACAATAATTTTGAGCCGTGATACTTGCAGTTTTTAGGGCTTTACATTCTACAAGATAAAGAATTGCTTGGTGAAAAGAAGGAATTAGCACATAGCACATGAGTTGATACACACCTTCCAAGAGGGTGATATAAAAACTGCACTGTACAAATATATTACCTTTATATCTTATAGGCCAAGATCACATCCAGGTTTAAATGTTTTAACGTTTGGTAGATCGATTCTAAATTTCCTTTGTACTGGATATCCTAGTCCTAATTCATGAATAATTAAGGCTAAGGGACAAAGGAAATTATAGAATTAACCTATTGTAGGTTTACAAATTTTAACTTGAATTTACTTTTGACCTCCAACATATACATATTTTTGTTTCCCTAATTAGTTTCTCTTGCGGAAGAACGCATGCATGGCACATATAGCTGTTGTGCACAAATTTTCTGTTTCATTTTCTTTTCTTAATACTAGGGTATAACATGCTGTTATTATTATTTATGGCTACAATTCAGTTTTTAATATGGCAGCTTTACCTGAGGTTTCAGTCCCTTGGATGTATACTGACATACACTCAAATGTTTCTCGAACCTTGAGGTGGATATTCTGTGACTTGGGTTCACTGGGCAATGGACTATTTTTGACTTGTTAGCCTTGAGTGAGAGATTACACAGATAGAACATTACTGTTGTCAGTTACTTTGGTCCTCATTATTAATGTGATCTCCCCATTTAGCTGATTTTTAAATACCTCTTTTAACAGTGTTTCCTTCTTCCACTTTAGTTTCTGCAGTATAGATTCCACTTTGCGTGCAGTTTCTGTCAAAAACGAAGAAAGCTCCGTGATGCATTCCTCACGGCATTTCTCCTTGTCCGCCATTTTGGCAACGCTCTCATAGAGACTGGTACTAGTGATTACCGCCTTCGAGACGCGAAAGAGCCTGGAAATGAGGTTCCCATATTTGGCATCCGTCATCGAAGAGGGAAGGAGTAGTTGTTTTGGAATGTTGCGATAGAAGTGTCTTTCTACAAAAAATCTAAAGAGTTATCGAAATTTGTCAAAGATGGGCTGTTGCCGAGGGAGGAATATCCTCTTGTTTCTATTAGTTCTTCAGCTGGTAAGTACAGTTTGTGTGCGAGACATTAGTTGGCTTTTTTCGGTATACCTCTCGCGGTGTTAATACATTGGACTTATCACGGGCTTAGTTTAAGAACCTTCAACAATAATAAACATTGATCAATCGGCAGTATACAGCTAACGACATTTCTCGTTATGGTGTTGTTATTTCAGCTTGTGGTCCTAGAGCGGCAAGTGTTTGATTTTCTGGGCTTCATGTGGGCTCCCATAATCGCGAACTTCATTCACATCGCGTTTCTAATCGTCGGGATATTCGGTGTTCTTCAGTATCGCTCACCATATGTTGTAACGGTAGGAAGTCTGTGCTTTTATTATTGGTTATTTCACCTACAAAAAATGTCCTCTTTGGTAAAATTAGTGTCCATACCTTACTTGATGTTTAAAATGACGTGTATTCTCTAAACACTTTAAAAAAAATTAATACGCTGTTATAAATGATACGATTTTACTCAGCGTGAGGGTTCTAACCGCTTGCTGACCGATCGAATATTTGACATTTGAATAGAACTTACATTTGTATAAATATTGAGCTTTTCCTATCGCAGGTAACCGAAATCAGTCTCTGTTGGTTTTGTTCATTAGGTTTAGTTAGTTCTCGGTTTTGCGTAAAATGATTCAGCGAT